GGAAAAGAATGTTTATTGGGAAAACAGCATATGAGTTGGTAGCTTATTCACAATGTTTTAGGCAGTAGAGAATGAAAATCATCATTCATTTATCTGTTTAGCTGTATGTGTTTGACTTAAATCCATTTTTTAAAAAATCCATTCTGTATATATCCCCAAAATATTTGTTGGCATAAATCAGGGACTTTGCAGCAGGGATCAACTTTCAGTGCCTAGAAAGACTGCCGTAAAATCGTTATACATCTCTTAATTGTTTATGGCCCTACTGGTGTCTGACAGTTGGTGACATAGCTTGCACATCAATCTCTTCATTCTAGCAGGAAGGGCTTAGAAGAAGCTTTTGGTAGTCTCTGGATTCGAGGGACGAATAGTGATACATTGAAGACTGGAATGGTGCAAGTATTAGTGCCCAAGAAAAATATTGATGCAGATGTTGTATGTTGAAAAATATTGAAAAAAAACCACTATAGATTACATAGAAAAATATCAAACTAGATGTGTTTGTTTACAAAATGAGTGAATGATTTGTTTAATGTTTGCATTAAAACTATTTCTTTGCCTGACAATTGAAAGAATATTGTTATTCTTTCCCTGTACAGAAAGGGAGTAAAGGCAAAACTACAGAGATATTAATTTGTTAAGCATGCTTGAGACGGGTATTTGGTAGCACCTCATTGAATATGTATAAAAAGTGACAAAAAAAACTCTTGTTTGGTATAGATTTATGTTAGGCAGAAAATGAACAAATTAGGTGTTTAGCCTGCATAGGTTATTAAGAAATGCATGCAAGTAAAAAGAAAAGTACGACAAAGCATGTGATAAAATGAATAGGTTGGATTATGGACCTTTCTGTATAAAATTTGGAATAAATAGTTGATTTAGAATAATTATGTTAGGAGCAAGTAAAGAATGCAAATGGATGCTTAATAATGTTTAGTTGATTGCATCAGCACTGAGCAGGGAGTAAGACAAGGATTTGTAAAGCTGGTAGTGACCTTATAAATTGTTGGTTGGGAATATAAATGTGTATGTACTGTTGCATGCAAACAATGCTGAGGTGTAGGCTGAAAGCCCAAATGACTTATCGTGAGTGTTGTATAATGTGGCAAAGAATATGAACCAATACTATATCCATAAAAAAGGTAATAAAAAAAGGTTTGGAAGAGAAAATTGAGTTATACATAAATGATGAAAAACTAGAACATTAGATGAATTTTTAGTACAGATAAGTACATTCCTGAATTAATTCTGATATGCAAATACTTTTAGTGTAGTAGTAGTCTATAGTTAAAAAGAATTTTTACTGAAGAAGTAAAAATAGTTGTATGTAAGAATAGATTTCTGCCCATTTTATAATATAGAAGTAAGAGTATAATAAGAAAAATATAAAAGTAAGTTGAATACAATGGGAATTATTTAAGAAATTGAACAAACATTTAAGAAATTAAACAAAAAAAATAAAACCAAGAAGGAATGGGTGTTCAATAAATTTATATTAAATATAAGTTACCAATATGAAATAAGTGTATTGAGGTAAACTTACATACAGAAATAATGAATTAAGGCTGAATTGCTAAATAAATGGAGGGATGAATGAGTTGGGAAGAATAGCAGTTCAAAAAGCTTGAGGTTGGATGAATTTAATGAGATCTTCAAAAAGTGAGAAATGAAACTTTTAAAGAAAAGATAGTGTATGAATCAGCTATACTTTGGCTATTTTGCAAAGTTGGAAAAATATAAAGAAGTATAGTAGCTGGTGCTAGTATAAAGTAAATGTAATTATAGAATTCCTTTTCTTCAATCTATATTTTCTCTTCTTCTCTACCCACCTCCTCTGTCCATGCACGCTCATGTGTGCATACTATATTAGGGCTGTATAAAACATTCTATATACGCTGTCTGGTGCACAAAAGAGTTGGTTTAAGGTGGTCCATAAAAAACTTTCATAAAAGGGAAAGAGACCGGGGGGGGGAGAAATAGGCATGCAGGCTGGCGCTCAGCAGCCCAAAGGTGGCAGCGGGCGAGGAGACACAGGCAGTTGCTCCTGAAGGGGCCCTGGCAGGCTGCTGGCGCTCAGAACGTTTTTGGAGGTTTTCAATTTGGGATGATTCAAGCCGGCCAGGCAGGAGCAGTCCCGCAGCGCTGCCAAGCGCAGCACTGCCAGGAGGGTGAAGAGGCCAGCAGCAGCATGGGCAGCCACTTGGCCATTTAAAGACTTGTGGATTTCAACTTCCAGAACTTCCCACAGCCCCCCCCCATCAGCTCCTTCCCCTTTCTGGGTTGGGGTAGCTCGCACCCACCAGGTCCGTTGAGGTTGGAAGTTTGATCACACCCCATGAGGGAGCCTCCCAGTAGCTGAGCCAGCACGGGCCGGAAGCTGCCTCTCATTCTGTCTCTCTGTGGAGGCCTCCCAGTGCAATGCTCTGCCACAGCTTCGGAGCAAACCTCTGCCTTCCCTGTGGAGGATTGCAAGGCTGGAGGCTTTGCCTTGCTCTGATCAGCAGGAAAATCCCCCTCCCCCATTTCCCTGCCGATCATTCTATCTTTGGGGAGCTCTGCACAAACACACATCCCAAAAATGCTCCCTCTGAAGCCTCCAGCCTTGCAATCCTGTGCAGGGAAGGCAGAGGTTTGCTCCGAAGCTGTGGCAGAGCATTGCACTGGGAGGCCTTCTCAGAGAGACGGAATGAGAGGCAGCTCCCGGCCCATGCTGGCTCAGCTGATCCGCGGGCTGATCTGCTTCCATAAGATGACCAGGGAAGGGAAGAGCTGCCTCCTGTGCTGCCTATGCCCACCCCTTCACTAGGGCTTATTTTCAGGAGAGGGCGTATATTTACGCCCACCCCAAAAATCAGGCTTGGCCTTATTTTCAGGACATGTCGTATTTTCGGGGAAACACGGTAAAAGATGAAAAGGAGGTGCTAGTTCTTTGTGTAACTCTTTTAATATTAGGGAAATTTTGTGTCGAATCCAAATTATAGAGTTTCCCCCTCCCCCTTTTGTTATGTGGATATCAGCCGGACTGCATCTTCATTGCTTCTAGATGCTTAGTTTTACTCAGTTAAGAATTCTGTACACATTACTTGTTTTCTACAGGACTCATTGTTTCCTTATTTAGCATCGAAGTTCTAGGCAAAGTAGTTTTCCATGTATGTATAATTATTTGCTAGATTGCACATTAGGGTCACAATCCAGATTTTCCCTCGTTGATACACTGCATTTATATAGGACTATTGCCATTATGAGCTATTAAGCTCATACATTCTCTCCTACCCTCCATGCACCCAGCTTTCCAAGCAGATTGGAAGTTTCCAAACCATAATATGCTGTTTGCAATTTCTAGTTGTAGAAAGGTGTAAGTGATTATGCACATTATGCACTTACATTGGAGTAGGTTCTGCCAGTGATTTTACAAAATATAAGAAGGAAACAATACAATGTCTACTTTGGACAGATAATTTTTTAATATAGGGGACAAAAGGTGAGTAGAAGTAATGACTTCTAATTCTCATTGATTTTTCTAGGCCAGGGGTGTCAAACTCAAGGTCCGTGGTGCCTTTGCCGGCCAAAACGGCCCGCAGTGCCTTGCACAGCCCCCCCCCTACGGCTCATTTTCGGCCTGCAGAGTGCTGCAGGAAGCCATGGAGGCCAAAAACGGGCCGCATGGGCGGCCCCGCAGCCTGTTTTGGCTAGCAGAGTACTGCAGGAGGCAGCACCTTCTTCACCTTCTATTTAGCAGCATCTGCTAGATACTCTCCAAGATCTGGATGGCTGTTGTTCAGAAGAGCCCAAAACACCTGGCTCTTCACTCAGGTCTTTGATGAGAGTGAGCACCCTCGTATCACTGAGTTTGTCATCTTTTATCTTAATCTTTTACCTGTGATTGATTTAATTGTAATTTTTTTTTATTGTTGTGAGCCACCCAGGATCATTGAGAATTGGGTGGTATATCAATTTTGTAAATTATTACTAATATTAAGTCCTCCTCTAGGGCTGTGTCAGAGGTAGTAACAAAGATTAATAGACTGTTGGACAGGCAGTTTTTAGAGACATCTGGAGAAATTGTCAGTTCATTTATGCTCTGCTCTATACAAAAGAGTCAAGCCCCATAGCAGATGGGGACTCTATGTCTCTTTAATCTCTACATTATGGAATTGAAACTATTTGTGCCAGAAAGTAAATCTCCCTTTGTCTAGAATAGCTGTTTTGAATGAAAAGGGAAAAAATGCATTTTGAGCCTGGGTCAAATGCCCACCATGGCCACGCCCAACCCCGGCCACGCTCCACCACCACCTCCGGCCCTTCGAGGTCAAACACAACCCTCAATGAAATCGAGTTTGACACCTCTGTTCTAGGCCAATTTTCTAGTGCATATACATCACTTGGGGCAGAATAGAATTATTAATCCTCAGCAAATACCTGTACTATATAATAGTAATATAATTTTCAGATACAGAAGAGGGGCTTCACCCTTCCCTCATAACTGATCCTTTCCAATGGTTCCTGCACCAACATTTTCTCCAGCTGGACCTATTTTAAGTCTCAAAGCCTACGTGGAGTCAGGGGGATGGGACTTGGCTGGAGATAAAATATACAATGAAAAAATAGGAGATTGGGAAGGGCTGACCAACTTGTATTGTCCTCGAAACATCTTCATCTACCCTTAAATTAGTTTTGTGTTATCACATAAAAATAAATCTGTATATTATTGTAATACATAATTTTGCATTGGATAAAATGTATATCTGGGTAATCGGCTGAATTTCTCATTAAGCTTTGTGCTACATATTTGGATTTTATAGTACTATCTTCTTTAGACTGATGTGCAAGATGCCAGGCAACTTTGCTGTCAACATTTCAACAGAAGTGGTCAACAGGTCTCAGAATTGTGTTCTAGCACATATGGAGATGACAAATTGGGAAGGGTTAGCACTAGGTTTAGGAGTAGATTTGCAAATTAGGTTAGAGAATTATTTAATAATTCAACTTTTTTCTTATAGGCATACGAGGAATACACCAGCAAGTTAGATGCATTACAACAGAGAGAGCAACAATTGTTGGAATCAATGGGAAATGGAACTGATTTTTCTGTCTCCAGTTCTGCCTCAACAGAAACAGTTACTTCTTCTTCTTCTTCTAGTCTTTCTGTAGCACCTTCATCACTCTCTGTATATCAGAATCCTATAGATTTATCACGGAGTAACCCTAAATCTCCTCAGAAGCCTACTGTTAGAGTTTTCCTACCTAACAAACAGAGGACTGTGGTAAGACCTGAACAGCTGTCAATATTTCTCTTTCTAATATTGCCAAAGTTACATGTCTATTGCTAAAACAAAGTGAGTCACAGGATTGGTGGTGTGTCATTCATGTACTTTTTGACATAGTCAAATAAGAAAGGTATTGTCCACAAAAAATCCCAAATATTGTACTGGATTTGAACTGCAAATAAAGGGCTGGAATATATTATTAGTGATAGCTTGGCAAAAATTTATTTTGTACAGTATATGTAGTGGTGTTGTTTTTTTTCATTTTTTTATTTATTCGTTTACTTAATTATCAATGATGGTGTTGTGCAGCATGTAGAATGAATGTATGTGACCCCACTCTTTTGTGTTCAAAGGGCCAAACTATAAGGTTCATGTCACTTTCTGCTCCAGTTATGCTGGGGAAAAAGATGTTGAGACAGCTTGTGGGAAGAAAGGGTTGTAATATAATGTATGTTGAAGGTGCTACACTAAGTATATCTGTGTTGGACTTTAAGCATTAAATGGGAAATGGTTTTTATACACAGCAATGACATCATGCCCAGAGATAATCTTGCCCCCCTTTCTAATAATTTCTTGCACATATTTAGGCTTGTTACCAAGGAGACCATGGAGGCTAGGAACAAGGGAGAGGAGTTAAGAGAGATTGTAGTTTCTTTACTCAGTAGGAAGAGAAGGAAGGACAGGCTATACACTAAAAATATGAGATGACAGGATCTGAAACAGGAATTACCAGGAGTGTACATAATTACCGGGAGAACACATAATTAAAGGGGGTGGTATAGCAACAGTGTCATTTTAGGAATGAGAAAATTAAGGATAGCAGCACAAAATAGAAGGGGACTGCAAAAGGAATATTAAATGCAATGGCAATTTAAAACTCAAATTTCAATTTAGCACAGTCTAGCAGAAGCGCCTTTTACCTCTAGTTCATTTCAGTGGGAGAATTGAGCACGTTTAACTCTTTCTCTGAAACCAGAATAATTTAGCAATACTATAGTCCTGTAGATGTCTATTCAAATGTAGCATCCACCAAATTTAGTGAGATTGAATTTCAGGGATGCAATATAATTTTAATTGGATTCGTATTTGTTGTATTTAATTCTCAGTTGTTTTAGTCTTCTATTATAGTTTCAATGTGTCTCATTTTATATCATGTGCATGTTAAATTTTGATCTGTTTTTGGAGGGGTAGATATAATGCTATATTTTACAATAAAGCAGGGTGGTTTACAACTCCTTAATAACTTAACCTGGATTTTAAAATGGTTTTAAAATATCACATTATTTTAGAAGAGAAAGTAATAAAGTTACAGACTGGTTTTGCTGTCTAACTTAATTTTTTTAACATCAAACTTCTAACTAGCTAAGTACCTAGATAAGCAATCAAGTGAACTAAAACTGTTACCCAGTCTTTGGGAATTATGCTCCAAAATTCCTTAGTATGGGAATTGATTTCTAATATGCTTTCAAGTACTAATTTTACTACTTGAAAACCAAAGCTGAGGTTCTCCATTTAGAACTTAGAACTTCTGAAAATGACAGAACAGTTCTCAAAAATCTGATATATGTTCAGGTATATGATGTTTATAATTTGTGATGCAGTCGTTGTTTTTCCAGATTAAAATTTAATCTGAACTGAATTAGAAAATTGTCTATTCAGCACACTGTTAGTACTGTTTTCTGCAGTACTCGTGTATACCATTGCTATTCCCAGCGTAAAAGTCTTGTCTTGTCCTCTAAAAGGAGGCAATATATAGTAGCAGTGATGATAGCATATAAGTAAGGAAGCGGATTCCCAGGTGGAGGAGATGCCCTCCAGAGGAGTAAGATGCAAATCAATCTAGATATTATGTGTGAGAGAAAGAGGATAAGATAGTCCACCCCTAATACTTCACAGAGTTTACTATAGATGCTGATAGTAGAGTGCTCAGTGTAGCAAGATTATTCCCATTGGTGTGAAACAATAAAGAAGTCCTCTGGAAGAATCACTATGTGTCTTTCTTGATTTGAGGCCTGACAGAATCAGGGGTGAAATCCAGCAGGTTCTGACAGGTTCTTGAGAACCGGTAGCAGAAATTTTGAGCAGTTCGGAGACCTGGTAGTGGAAATTTTAAGTAGTTCGGAGAACCAGCAAATACCACCTCTGGCTGGCCCCAGAGTGGGGTGGGAATGGAGATTTTGCAATATCCTTCCCCCAGGAGTGGGGAGGGAATGGGGATTTTGCCATATCCTTCCCCTGGAGTGAGGTGGGAATGGAGATTTTGCAGTATCCTTCCCCGTCATGCCCACCAAGCCACGCCCACCAAGCCACACCACACCCACCAAGCCACGCCCACAGATCCGGTAGTAAAAAAATTTGGATTTCACCATTGAGCAGAATCATGTACTAGTAGGAAAGATGTAAACAATAGGGCAGGCAAAGGTTAAATGTTTCTAGGAAATTTACTTTAAAAAAATTGAAAAATGTTTTGTTTTCAGCAGCCTTGTATTTGAATCTCAGATTTTAGTATTTGTAAGTTATGCTTTGCATGTAGACAAGCATGACATAGCCAGCATATCTCAGAGGAATTTATGTCTGGAACAAGTGATTGAAACTTCAATAGCAGAACAGTATGGTTAGCTTTTCTTCTCCTTTTATCTTCTGAACATCCTATCTATCAGTTTGGCACTGTTCAAAGATAGGATAGAAGTTGACATGATTTCTCTAAATTTCAGTCTTCATAATTATGTAAATAAGTATACAGTACACAAAATTTAAGTCCTAACAGGCAATCTACTCTGATTCATAAATATCTCTTGACTGTGTTAAAAGTTTGCCATGTTGCAAACTGGGCCTTTAGAGATAACAATAAAACTTAAGTAAAGCATTAAAAATAAAAAGTTTACAAATTATCCTTCAGTTAATGACTGAACCAAGAACTAGATCCAGAATATTAAGAAAAATCCAGATGGATAGGGAAAGATCCTTTCTCAGATGTCAGAAGCCATCTTGCTTTCATATTATGCTTTGTATTTTATATCCTTTACAACATATGTTCTTCTACACCAATGTGGCCATTTAGGTATTTTATTCATGCTATTTGTATATTCATGTGCATATGTGTTATTATTGTATTATTTCCTATAGCAAATAGTTTAAAAATTGAGCAAAAGTGTTTGGAATTTTAAAAGTTAAGGAAGCTAAAGAAAAATAACCTTTTGAACAGTGATAGAAGAATAAAAAGATTATTGCTACAGTTACATAGAATTATTTTCTTTCCTCACATTCTCAGCAATTTCCAGTTAACAGTAACTACACAATTTTTAATATAAACTGGCAAATGCCTGTTCACAACAAAGCTTTGCAAAGTTTTCAGATTACCATATCTTCTCCTGCATTTATTTTGTCTCATGATTTCAGTTAAAAACCATGAACGTATGTAGGACTTGACATCTGAATACAAGTATGTTTCGTTTTCCTCAAGAATAAGACTCTTGTTTAGTCCTTAATTCAGTGGTGAAATGTGAAATTTGTTACTACCGGTTCTGTGGTCGTGGCTTTGAGGGGGTGGTAATGTGATTGGGTGGGTGTGGCCAACTTTTTTTTTTTTACTTTTAAAAGCATTTTTTCTACAACCTTAAGAGGTTGCAGAAAAAAATGCTTTTAGAAGCCTCTGACGATCAGGCAACTCAGCTGGGATCATCAAAGGCTTTTAAAAGAATTTTTTTCTACAAAAAAAAATGCTTTTAAAAATAAAAAAAACAGCCTCTGATGATCACGTGGCTCAGCTGGGCATGGGGGGGGCAGAGAATCACTCAGCTGTTTTTTTCCTGAATAAATAAAATAGCTTGAGAGCAAAAATATGTAAATAGAAAGTGATAATAATGGCAGTGGGTTTGTTTTGTTTTGTTTGCAAATTGATTGACAGGATGATGTTTCTGGTTATTTTGTGTTCCAGCAGAATTGCAGAAAAAAGTATTGTAAGGATTTATTATTTTTTAGTCTTTTTTAGTTTTTCAGCTTTTAATTTGTCAATAGGTTTTAATTCGAATTGTTTTAAATTTGGGCCAAAGTATGTAATTCTTTTAATAATTTTAAATTTTGTATTGGTATGTGTTTTAGTTCTGGCTGTGCACCGCCCTGAGTCCACTAGGAGAAGGGCGGTATACAAATTGAATAAAATTCAAAATTCAATTCAAAATATATTTTAATGCTATAATAAAAAAGGAACTGGACACAAGTCTCTGTTTGTATTAAATGTCAGCCATATCATTTGATGTGTACTACAGGAATATTTAAGAACTTTGGTAAATGTATATGTAATAGTAATGATACTGATTGGCAATAATTATGCTTTGAGGTTTTTTGTAAACCATCTTCAGGAAGCATTCCAAGGAGCTCACAAAACTCTCCTGAGATCTGGCATATTCTCAGAGAGGTTTTTCAATATCTGTTTTCCATGACAGAATGATTTTGATTCTTTATATTCAGAACCAGTAGATTCCTAAACACTGCTTGATCTGTGTTAGCAGAATTCTTAAAGCTTGTAAACATTAAAATATATACATTTAAAGAGAGTACACTTTTTTTAGAGTTTTGAAATATCTTGCATGATACTACACTGAAATGTAAAGCAGTGGTTTTTTAAAAAAAAAAACTTTGTAGGTTCCAGCACGATGTGGAGTAACAGTCCGGGAGAGTCTAAAGAAAGCTTTGATGATGCGAGGTCTTATCCCAGAGTGCTGTGCTGTTTACCGTATACAGGATGGGTATGGTGGTTTGATTGCAATATGGCTTTGTGGGCGGTGATCATTTGAGAGAAAAATTGCTAAAGGGGTTGTTTCCAGGTGTCTGAGAATATTAGCTTTCAATATTTCAAAGCAAGGGCCTTCACAAATATGAGAACCTCCCAGTAAAAGCTGATGAGACTGTGGGAGGGCAGATGGTAGGAAGGGAAGAATTCATTTTCTGGATTCATTAGTTGATTTACTGGAAGTTGGTTCAATCCTTTACACTATAGTGTAGCAACTTCCAAATTGTTTCTGTCTCTGGTTTTCTGTGGAGACACTAAACTGGAACATTTTTAGTTCTGGAGGAAATTATCATTTGATCAGAATGAGTATTCCTTTAAAAAAGTTATATTAAGTTTCTATGAGGAAAGGGCTGGGAAACAAACACTAAATATTTGGTATCACTGTCCCCTGACAAGCACATCTTCATCATTAAGAACGGAGTTTAGAAATTGTGTTTAACCTCAAAGAACTTATTTACCCTGTAGGGAAAAGAAGCCCATTGGTTGGGACACAGACATTTCCTGGTTGACGGGAGAAGAACTACATGTGGAAGTCTTGGAGAATGTGCCTCTTACGACACATAATTTTGTAAGTCTTGCAACTTTTAAAAACCACATTGGTCTTAAACCTTCCAAGCAAAGTATTTATATTCTTTCTGATAACTTTTCCAAACTGCAATCATAGCACACTCTTGATCAAAATTGTGTTGGTTTTTTTATGTCTCTGTATTTGTGTGCTTTAGGAAACACAGTCAGAAAGCTGATAGCAGAATTAATTGTGAAAAATTATTGGATTATTTTTTCCAAATTTCTTTTAAAATTTGCAACCAGAAGGTCTCCCTAATTAGAGATTGCCACAGTTGGTAGAAATATGTACCAATTTGCTTGCAATCTGGCTAACGTAATCTAGAGATATTATAATTTATAGTGTTTAAATTTAGCAGAATGTAATTCCGCCTCTGCGTGATATTCATGGTCAATTCTTGATGATCTACAAAAATTTGACATCCCTAATCCTTACCAGGTACCCTGGTAGGTTGCATTGATTTAAGAGATAATTGCAGTTCAAACAAATGTATTTAGAATTGCATATGGAATCACTCTCATTTTGCTTTCATAAATGTTTGTGTGGGTATGTGGGTGTGTAGGCTTTAATATGATTTAATATGTATAAATTAAAGTCCTAAGCATTTAGGACCCATATTTCTTAATAGTGATATCCACCTCTGTTCAGAGAAGTAAAAGAGAATAGGGCTAGGCAAAATGTTTAAATTAGAACAGAAAGGAGCAGCAAGAATACCTGTTTTTCCACCATTGTATGACTAAATAAAACCTCAGCAGTTAAACTATTTTAACTGAATTATTTTTTATGGGTGATTGTCTTGAAATCTTGAGCCCATTTTCTTTCATAAAATACCTTGTAATAAAATACAGTAAAAAGTCAGAACATGAACTTGCTAGTTTAGGCCTGAAGGCAAATAACCAACTAATGGTAAGAGAAAATACTTCATTATCTTGTATAAATGAAAATTGTATTTTGCTTTAATGCAAATAAACATATAATGATACAGCATTTCTTTAAGCAAATATGCTCTAAATTTTGTTAATGATAATAGTGTGGTTTATTTAGTCATATATTCTTCTATGTTTCTAAAGCAGCTTTCCTAACTTGATGCCAATGGGTATCTGCTGGCAGGAAGGAAGAGAGAGCATGATGCAAATTCTTTCCTCTAAATGCTTCTGTGTAATGTTGCAATACAAGTACAAAAGAATGAACTTTGCACTGTACTATCATAATGGACTTTTCATAACTTTGTTGACATAATACTTATAGATAGATGCTTATATCCTCTAAAAGGGTTAAATTTTAGTTGTTAAAATCCGCTAGTCAACATGCTGAAAGACCACAAATTTTTAGAGTTGTAGACTAATATACCTGATACATTCTAATCTAGGTTCTGAGTTGTTGCTTTCAGTGTTTCAACAACTAAAACTGTACTAATTATAGTACACTTTGAATATTGAACTGAACCATAATCAAAATAAAATGTAAACAGTATTTCTTTGGTAAGATCATATTGAACAAAATAGGACTTTATCTCTTCTTATTTTCTTGATGGCATAGGTACGGAAGACATTCTTCACTTTAGCGTTCTGCGACTTCTGTAGAAAGTTGCTTTTCCAGGGATTTCGTTGCCAGACCTGTGGTTACAAATTTCATCAGCGTTGCAGTACTGAAGTGCCACTAATGTGTGTGAATTATGATCAGCTTGAGTAAGTAACTGGAACCCCTTTGCATTTAAATGCTCTGGCCCTAAATAGAAGTTTGCAGTTCAGAACTCTAGGAAAAATTAATGAGATATAGTGGCATACAAAAGGAAACTATGTCTTGTGATGATGTCTTTTCTATAAGGAGAGATGCTTGCAATGTAACTGAGAGCCAATTTGGTTTAGTGTTAAGGCAATCAGACTAGAAACCAAGTAAGTTCTAGTCCTACCAAAAAAAAAAAAAACCAAACCCCAAGAAAGTCCAGTTGCTTCCTGAAAACCTGTCCCACCTTTGAGACAACCATGACCTGAGAATCTCCATATACTTTTGACTGAGAATCTCCATAGACTTTTTGCTATGCGCTTTGGGATGAACACCCTTTGAATGGTGTGGGAGTATGAACGGATTTTCCAGAAAAATTGCAGACCACAGGAACCATCTGTGCTTCAGTTTGAGATGCAGACAACACAGACTCATCCCCAACCGCCTGCGCCTGTCTTCAACAGGGAAGGGACACGGGACAGAAAACATCCTGCAGCCAAGAAGCCTCCACACACATTTGCACTACTCAGGTGTCCCTGAGGACACAGATAAACCTCCAAGTGGCCTCAACGACTCTCTAAAGAGAATGCAAATGACCAGCTGTCTGCAAGGAATATAAATCCTTCCATTCCCCACCATCCAGTCAGAGCTGAAGAAACTTCTTGGATGAGAAGAGAAACGTCTTCAAAGAAAAAACAAGAAAGTCCAGTTGCCTCCTGAAAAAAGCACCTTTGGGTCCTATCAGTCACTCTCTCAGCCCAACTCATTGTTGGGCTGAGTTGGGTTGTTGTTGTGGAGAAAATAGGAGGAAGGAGTATTAAATCAATCTGCTGCCTTGAGGTGTTTGTAAAAACAACAAAGATGAGATATAAAATAACACTAAACATCTGGCTGACTGCGATGAATCATAATAATAACAAGGATACAGAGTAGTACAAATCTTAATTTAAAAGGAAGTGATCAAGTGCATACATGGTTTTGTATCATAAAAAGATTTATATTGGACCCATTCTGCTCCAGCTATATTTCATATGCAGTGCTTCTAAAATCCAAGGCAGACTGACAAGCCCATCAAATTTCAATAATGCATGACTTGCTAGACCAATAGAATTGTCATTTGGAACACTTTGTATAAAATAGGGTTACATTGGCAAGAATTATTTATGTAATTATTTATTTAAAAAATTCGGATCCTGCCTTTATTCACTACATCATAAAATAAAGGGATTTAAACTGTTGTGGCAGAAAATGCTGAGTCTTAGTACAGGTCTTAATATAAATACTGATAAAAGACTTTCATTCTTAGAGATTTCATTAATGAAAAGAATAATGTCTTTTGTTCAGATTAATCTGAGGAATAGTCTTTAAAAATCAGAAGCAGTGCTTAAAAAACAAAATGCTTATTGATGATATTTCTATGATTTAATAAACACAGGTATACAATAAAAGGATACCGCAATGTACTCATATATCCATTCAGCTGCAGGCTTATTCTTGGGCAGAGGGTATTCCATCTTGTTCTCCATCAAGCTGAGACCAATAAAATTATTCTAAAGACTTGCTCATGTGGAAAAAGAGAGCTTTAAAATGTGCATGGAGTGATTTAGCTCCATTACAGATGTAACATTTTAGCCTTACTTCTATCACACAGACAAGCAGAAAGTTCATTAGATCAAGCAGAAACCGGATCTCTACTATTCTACCTAGTAAAAGGAATTTATTTGAATGAGAATTCCAAACTTTTTAAATTTAAAGTTCCAAATTGGGTATAATTTTCTATTGCTTTCTTTGGGGGATTTGATAAATAATTAAATTTATTTATAAATAAATTTATAATATTTTCTTTCTCTTACATTATTATTCTTGTTCTTGCTCCACAGTTTACTTTTTGTCTCCAAATTCTTTGAACATCATCCAATACCACCAGAAGAGACCTCTGTAGGGGAGGCCACATCGGCATATGGATCATACTCTTCAGTAGCCCTTTCAGATTCTTCCGGGTACATTCTTAAATCTTGGCTATCCTAATCATACTAAGATTTTATTTATAAGTTGCCTGACTCAAAATCCTGTTTTGCATCTCGACTTGGTAGATTGTGGTTTGCTACCTTTGTACTTAAAAGTTGAGCATCTGATGCAGAATTGAATTAAAATTGGGGACTTTACAGAAGATTGTTGTTTTTGAAAATAAATCCTCAGATTGCAGTAGAAAATGGGTTAATACTTCACCCTGAACATCTAGATGACCTCTCCCAGGGTTTCATGCAGATGTTGTGTAGAATAAGGAAAAAGACTGAACTTTTAGGCACTCTATACCAAAGTACCTGGGAGTCTGACCTCTTCCCACCCCAATTATCAAGTGGATCGGCCTGCTCAGGTAAAAGCAGAACTAATATCTCCCAACTCCTAACTCTTGTAGGTGGTTCAGAAGAATAGTGTAGTCAAAGGCTGCTGAGAGTTCTAGGAGAACAAGGGTGGTCACTGTATCTCAAACTAAGCTCTCTGAAACTTCAGCTCCACTCCTTTCTCAATAACTTACCTCTCCCTAAGAGATAGGACAGTAGTTTTCCAGTTTTGTTGCATTCAGACCTGACCTCCACCACTTCCCCTTCTCTCAAAGAGTTGTGGACTATACCAGGGATGGGTTCTACTTACCTTTACTATCAGTTCGCAATGGGATCGCACTCACTTCCTTCGCTCACACACGCAGAAGCTTCTGCGCATGCACAGAACGCTGATGATGACATCCGGGGCAGTGGGCATGGCCTCCCGCCAGTTTTACTACTGGTTCTTGCGAACCGGTTCGAACCGGGGGCAACCCACCACTGACTATACCCTGGATCCAGTTTCTACACACTTTCCCTGCTGCCTTTAGCAACCAGGTGGGGCAGGGTTCAGATTCCCAAATAGCAGAGCCAAGATCACAGAGGTCTTTGTCTATTTCCTTGGGATCCTTACTCTCAAAAGTGTGGGTGTTTTAATCCACCAAATGTTCAGCCAGGCAATCACTACTTAGATTGATTGGATTTTATGTCCCATCCTTCCCCCATAGAATTTTTTTTTGCACCCTTTGAAAAAGTGCAGCTGCCTAACATTCTGCAGGCACAATAAGAATTGAGGCGTAATTACCCTTCATGGCTTTTATAGTTACAAGGCAGGCTCTCATCTGAGTCTTGCTCATGTCCAGCCACACATTGGTTTTTTGTTTTCCACTAGCATCACTCTAGGTGTCTCTTCACCCATTTTGTTTCCTGGGGGACCAAACAAGGAGATACACCATAGACAATCTTATTGAGCAGCCTGTTTGCCTTCATTGCCTGCATATTCCAGAGGTCAACAATATGCTCAATAAAATATCCTTTCAGATCATTGGGAAACTCCCCAAGTTCTATTAGAAAGCCAGCTGGACCCATCAGATGATCCATCTTAATCAGCTCTGCCCCTTTGCAGATATTGGTTGGCTCAGTTAACCCTATTCTCCCAACAAAGTGATTTATCCTTGAGCTTCTTTGAAAAAAAAAAAACCCTGAAAGCATGTCCCAGAGTATTTCTGAATCTAAATCATATTCAGTTTCAACATATGGGAGAAGTCTTTCCAGCAGGAGAGAAAACATCATTGTGAGATACATATATAAACATAAAGAGGATTCCCCTCCAGTTCTTACAACATTTAAGTCTGAACACAGTATTCAGAAACATAATGTTTACTAAGTAGGTAGCACAACATGCAAGCTGGGTCCCACCAACTAAGCAAAAGTGCAAATAGAGATAGTTTTCAGCTTCTGGCTTTCTTGTTTACATTTCATGGTTATTGAAATGTCAGTGAAAAACAGTGTTCTGATCTCAAACAGAGATCAGATTAGGATTACGATTCTTCTAGTAAGGTTGGCGTAGTGATGGAGTACTTCTGGTGAAGTCAAAATAGACTGTTTGAAGTTCACAATAGTTCAGATTTGAAATATTTTGCATATCTTTAGGCCCATCTATATGATTTTACAATCCTAAGTATTTTGTGCTTCTTTAATACTTTAATCTCCATCAGTTTACCATTTATTTGTGTTTGTTATTTTAATTCTGAAGTAACCACATAGCAAATTTCACAATTACTGGCTTAGATCTGTTTTTGTTTGGTTTTAAATCCTTATTAAAATAACTTAATGTGTCTTTGTTAAACTGTGCTAAAAATCTAACAAATATTGTACATATTTTTGTATACAATTACACTCTTTAGATTTCCAGTACTATTAAAGGGAAATTAACCACATTATTATTTTAATCCTTCCTTTAATAAGAACTGTTGGCAGTGGCTGTATGAACACACCCATGTAGTAAGCTTAGCAACAATATGGAAGTGATTTTACACTGCCCTTTTTAGATTGTTTTTACTTACCAGTACAATCTGTAGTTCTATTATTTCTTTAAATGTCTCCTGTCCAAATATTAATGCACACACACACTTCAGTCCTATCACTCAAAAAGGGCTATGGCGATATGGATCATAACTATGTAGAATCTGAATGTAAAGAAAGAAAAGCTTGATTTCAGATTCCTGCTATTACTGTCTCTCATACACGGAATCAAAGATCATGTAATATATTGTCCTGCTGAATGAAATAACTAAGATACAGTTCCAGTTTTTTTAAAAAGTCCGCCTATTCCATACATAGTCAAAGTTACAAGTAACCTTGTATGTCAGTGGCTTTTTTTCAAGATAAACCTTATCTACAATCCAATGCACCATTTTGCTAATGAAACAATATTTGATTTCTGAAAAAAACTCTGCCCAAACAAAAACCCTTTTCTCAGCCCTAAAAGTGTTTCCCTAATAACTTCTCTCTTTTTATCAGAGAATACAGAATGTTTTTATCATATATGTTCTCTCCACCCTGTTAATTCAACAAATCATATTAATCACCAGTAAAACCCCTCATTTACCTGTCTTTTGACTAATGTGTTTTGGTTCCACTTTTTGGACTACTTCTAAAGTGCTTCTCGTAAATTTTGTGTCCAATGAATTTGTTTTTTTACATCTATGTATAATATATGCTTATAAGTATTTGTACTTTAGATTGTGAATGCAGGAATATTAATGTATTAGGGCATCCTATACTTAAAATCTCTAGTCCAGGGCTGTAAAACTCATGGCCCGCGGGCTGTATGCATCACATGCTGGCCACGCCCCCACCCGGTTTAGCGAAGGGGGGGAAAGTCCCAATACGTCACATGACACCGCCGTGACAACGTTAGCTTGACACCCCTGCTCTAGTCAGACAATTGAGCAGGTAAATAAGTTTAACTTGAACTGGAGTGCTCACCAACTGTCTCACAATGTACAATAGTACACTGGTCATAGTCCTGTGTCAGAAGCCTATAAAGTGTATGGAAGGTTTTTACAGTTGCTGTGGGAATTGTTTTTGTCACATCTGTGAAATGAAGTCCTGCAGATCTTACTTTTTTTTTTTTTAATGTCTTGACTTTCTCAGCCCACCAATTCTCCCCAGTCCGTCTCCTTCAAAATCCATTCCAATACCTCAACCATTCCGACCTGCAGATGAAGACCATCGAAATCAGTTTGGTCAACGTGATCGCTCATCATCTGCCCCCAACGTGCACATCAATACAATAGAGCCAGTCAATATTGATGTAAGTTCCAAACTAACTGTTTTCTTTACAATTAGTGTATTTATTCCTTTATCCTGAACATTTGGAGGCAGGTGTAGCAAGAAAAATTCTACAGACAACTGAGTACTTTCTTCCAATTTACAAATAAAATCTACTTGCTGTTTTCCATGGTATGAAAAATGAAAACAAGCCTTACTAATCTAGGAAATGGTCTCAAAGGTATACACATACACAGATTTAGCCACATACATTGCTAGAATTTAAGACTACTTTCTTAGTTAAATTTTTAGTTTCTTACATATATTAAACTGTTAAACAAATACTATTTAGGGACCATGCATTACCTATACTGTATTGATACTAATAGATCATGCTGTTTTGAACTTCCTGAATTTAAAATCAGATATTGATTCTAAGGGTAAACTCACATGACCTGTTTTTAAATTACAGCTAGTTCTTTGATAAATTGTGACGGATGATATAAATAAGCAAATGGGTCAAATATGTTTGCATGTAAACTATCACGAATCTTCAAAACACAAACAGAAAAAATTATGGAAAGAGCATTTCCCTCCCAAAGCTGAATAAATATAAATAGTATGGATATAGCTCTACACAAAGACTGCAAGTATCTTGACACGAGTGAATGTCTTTTGATACATCACATACTTTAAGAATCATAATGATTTTTTATTTAAATAACTTCAATTATTGTAGTTTTTCTAATGCAATGTAGCTAGTGAGGGCTTACCTTTGATTGGCATTACTAAATGCTACATCTATCTCTCCCCGAGTTAACTGTTGATTTTATTTTGCCTGATAGTTCAGTATTTTATTAAAAAGCTTGCTACTTTTCCATTAATGGAAGTTGGTCCATATGCTAACACCTTGGCTATTTAACACTGCTAATTGATTATCACTGTTTCCCTGTATCTCCAATCAGTAGGCTTCATTTTCCTCCTTCAGTCTCTCAAACAGTGTTTAAAGTATCTATTAGACCTGGTCATCCTCCCAATTTCTGCTTGATAATTCACTTCCAGACCCAAAAGAGCTCAAGCAGTCTTTACTGGAAATCTCAGCTATTGGCCGATCAGGGAGTGTTTTATAGGTTGATAGTAAAGTATGCTGTATCGTTGCACCTGCTTTCAGTATGCTTTTCTTAGTTAAATGGGGGGAAAATGTGCTATATCACCAGTCCTACTAATGACAAGCAACATATATAATGCATGAATAAGGTGCATATAGTTTTTGTTTTTGGTTTGTAGGACTTGATTAGAGATCAAGGGTTGCGAGGAGAGGGAGGTAAGTTACTTTATTCTCTTGCATACCCAATGCATTGCTTTGCCTCCTCCCCTTTATACAACCTCCTTTTTGCAAAATACAGACACAGGAGAGAAATATAAGTAGTGCAATGAAATTCAGTTGTACTTGCTTGTCCATTGTCTTATAAAAAATTCACCAATTTGCATTTCAATGTGGGTGAAGGGAAGATGAGAACAATATGCAAAGTGGTAGCCAGTATTTTTTTAAAAACAACAACAGATAATCAGAATAAGAGAAGGCAACAGGCCTTCAGCTGATCCTTTTCCTCTTTGTGCCATAAAAAGCTTAAACCTGCCATCTTGCTATATTAAAAATGATTATTTTTTAAGATGTCTGTCAGCTAGCACAATTTCTAAATCGACAACTTAAGAATATACAATAAGAGCATCCTAGAAAATACCTATATTTCTCAAAAACATAACATCTGGAGATATTATGTACATTCTTGCTGAAAAAGAATTGGGTATTGCCAGGTTACTAGAGTGTGTGTTAGCATGTATACACAAATGTACACTGCATATTTTTAGATAAATTCCATTACTTAAACTAGCCAATTAATCAATAAATGAAAAACAATTCTGAACAACTCTTCAAAGAGTCTTCCTAGCAAATATTTATCAGTTGCAGGCACTTATCAAATAATAAGCATGCAGGCTAAAGAAATTTATGCTTATACTTTCTGTGCTTTTAATCTGTAGAATGAATGATATGAATGATATTACGAATTCATTCATCTGTAGAATGAATGATGAATGTTAATTAATGCAGACGTCCTCAATCTAGTCATCATGTTTGCTGGCCCCTCTTACTTTTGATATGTTTAAAAAATGTGGACATGTATGATGCTCCCATGCTATAAGAATGTACAACAGTTTTTGCAAGCTTGGCATCTCCAGATTGAATTGCCAGGATCCATGGTCAGGCAATGCTGGAACATTGCCAATTTGGAAAAAGTCGCTTCAAGTTTTATCAGCAGGTCTAGCAAAGAGAAATGTCACTGGCAAAAGTCATAACTGCAGAAATGTGTATTTTCCCCACCATGTTACATGCACACTTTTGGTGGGTGTTGCTGCAATAGCTACAGATCCTGTTCAGGATAAGCTTCGTTTAATGCTTTGACTTGGCTATTATCATTTGACTATATGGTGCAGGCTGTACCATGCAGTACAGGAAAGCATGTATCCTTAATCAGCTGGCCCTTTTGCTTTCCATGACATTTGTTTGTTTGTTTTCTTTCTTTTTAATACATTTGCAACCTATGCCTTCACTATAACATTTAGTAGAGACTCAGTTTTTAGTCAGGATTTTGTTTCTTCTCCCTCCCCGCTTTCCCAGTTACATCTAACAAACTGGCTACTACTTTGCAAATCTGAGACTGCAGGTATGACTTCAAGCCATGAATGCTGCCCATTACATTGCCCATTTGACAATTGCATATGTCTAGGGAGCTGTGGCTTTTGGAACCGTTTTGCCCATTCTGTCCAACATTTAAGTGTTGTGTACTAGTATGTCATTTTAAATTCTGGTCAGTAGGCTCTCTTTGGGGCTTACCAATTCCCAGCCTTTTGAATAATATGCTGTATTTTGTTTTTGAAATGGAATCACAAGTTTCTGCCCTGCAAAATCATAAGCAGTCTGTGCATAGGAGTCTTAAGCACCTCAGTTATGTCCCATGACTTTCATTTCTTCTGTGTGTCTGTCTTCCTGTCTCTGCCTGCCCGTCTCTTTCTCTCTAACAGCCCCTATGAACCAGCTGATGCGCTGCCTTCGGAAATACCAATCCCGGACTCCCAGTCCCCTCCTCCATTCTGTCCCCAGTGAGATAGTGTTTGATTTTGAGCCTGGCCCAGTGTTCAGAGGTAGTTGGGCTCTTCTTTCTCATTTTCACCCAAATCAAACTAAATAAAACCACAGATGCTGTTTGTGCCTCACCCTCACAGCGTGTGTATGTAAGTGTGTGAGTTTATCAAAACATTATCATTTTTATTTATTTATTTATTTTTTGGCTTAGCCTGGCTGGAATGCTTTGAATGTGCTTTTTTCACTTAATAGTCACTCACTCTTATTAAACTCACAAATTATTCTGTGTTGGACATCTGTCATAAAGCTGCTGGAGCATTACGTTATAGAGATAAGGTTTTTTGGACTATCTTCTTTCGAAGTATTGCTTGTTTTACAAAGTCTCGAGTTACAGTATGAAAACGAGGACAGGACAAGTCCTGCAGATAATTAACATCTGTGCAAAACTTTATTCAGATTTTTCTGAAGTAGGGTTGCCAACTGACACAAAAGGGGGAGGGGAATCAAATTGGCCAGGTTTCTTTTTTTTAAAGCAGGTATTCTGTAAGATAAAACTTATGCCATTTTGCTGGCCCTCCAGCCAATTAATTCATAGATGCTGAAGTGAACTTCAGTACAGAAGTTGACAACTCTGCCTGGATCCCAGCAGGACCATACTGTTGTGCATGATCTTGAGGCTTTCCAGGATTTTGGAATAGATTGACATTCCTGATTTTCTTGTCTGTCAGTTTTAACTTAATGCTTGAGCAAAATCCTATTTAACACTGTCTTTCAGAAATCTGTTGCAGAGCTAACGATTCTGCTAGCAATTTTGTTAATTATCTGGAATATGATTTACCTCAATTATATCTTACTGCTGTGACTAATCTGTAAATTAAAAGGATATGTTATATTGTGTAGGATGGTTCAGCTAAATTAAAGATCAGTTTTGAGAACCAAAATATAGTAATATTCTATTTTACCTGAGATTATTGATACAGAAAAAAAATCTGGGCAAAACACCAGAACCACAATTCAGGATTGGAATTAGACACAGAAACAGTTTTTCCCCCATTGATTGAACTATAGTCCAGAAATTATAAATTGAAGGATAAAATATTGATATAATGATGTATTGCAATAAATCACTGCAATACAATTTCTACAAAGAAAGACGTGTAAATGTAATTCTTCAATTTATACAATTTATTTCCTAGGAAAGTCTATTCACCTTATTAGTTATATAATTAAAAATAAATACCTTTTAGAACAAACCAGGTTAAACAATTAAACCAAGGACAGGCATTATTTAAGCATACTTTCTTATTTTGTCATAGATTAAAATGTTTCTGGTTTATATTGTTGGAAAAGATACAGTTTTGTTTAATAAATTAAATTTTAACAAATTTCAGCTACTGTAGTCTTTATTTACTGGTACAGTTTTAGCATTTGAATATCACTTCATTAACACAGAATCTTTCAGATATCCTGGGGCTGTATCCAAAAATTTCCAAAAACTGTGGTCCAAGACTGCTGTCCAGAAATTTTGGTAGTTATGCTCTCTGCACATCTGGAAGATGCTCATTTAAGGAAAACTGGAATAGATAAATCTATACTGTATCTTATTCCAACATTTATATCCTTTTGTCCATGAAATATCTGTATGACTGCTTAGGAAACTAAGCTTGTCTTCTACTGCCAGCTTAAAAGATTTGGAAAGGAGAAAGAGAAATATTCTTCCCTACCATGCCTTTAAAGTTTTAAATTCTACTAAACTCTGTTTTAAAATTATAAAAAGCACACACACACACACAATTTAACATCTGTACAGCATTGCAGGATATATTCTTGAAATCTGAAAATATCTGGGGAGAACGAAATCTCCCTTTTTGCTACATGGACATTGGGAAAATAAGCTAAAAGATGCACACACACACACACACACACACAAAAGGAAACCAATGAAAAAATAGCTTTCCAAATATTCAGTCAAAAGCAAAAGAGAGAGGTCTAAGGTTTTGATTTTTTTTTTTAAAAAAATTCTGCTTAGCTCTTTCAGTAGGGGCCACCAAAAAGATCTCTTCACTCTCTTAAAATTTACATTATTTTCTTTTAATACACCTAGCTTCTTATATATTCCTCTTTCGAATAAATACTTTAAACAAGGAAATTAATAAAAACAAGGCTCAGGAAAAAGCGAAGTAATATAAGAAGTTACTTTAAAAATTTAAAAACTGTGTAAAGGACTATACAGTTTTCAGAAGTGGCTAAATTATAAAAAGATATTGAATCCAGTATCTCTTTATAATTTAGCAACTTCTGAAAACTTTATAGGGTGCAAATTTGTCCTTTCCTCTTTTGTGAATTAGAGTCAATTCTAACTCTATCTGTTGGTAAAAGTTTTATAATTAAATTGAGCTAGAATTGCACCCTGTAATATTTGTTAAATTCATCTGGTTTGCAAATTTTAATCCTTACACTTAATTGTGTGTTGTGTTTAGAAATACTGCATCTTATACACAACCTTTGCAATTACTGTTTGCTAATTAAGTCAATGTATCTTAGTCCTTAAAAACCTGGAGCTGTTTTTTGACCTTTAATTACAAATGTAGGCTCAACTACAGGATTGTCTGCCACACCACCTGCGTCTTTACCTGGATCTCTCACTAATGTGAAAGCATTACAGAAATCCCCAGGGCCTCAGAGAGAGAGGAAGTCCTCGTCATCTTCTGAAGACCGAACTAGAATGGTAAGGACAAAATTAGGTTATTGAACTAGCACCCATTTGAGATTCACCATGTAAACCAAGTGTCTTGATCTCTTTAAGTATGGATAGGAGATCAAAGGGGGTCCACAGCCTTTCCTTCTTTGTGGATGCAAATTCCCCTGAAATGTTCAAGGATTGGTGTCATATAACATGGTGTGCTATGCTTATAAAATGGGTTTGGGCTAATTGGGGCTTTTTAAAAATTCACCATGCATACAATTTTTACTAAAAAGATTTATGGAACTATAAATGTGCTTTTCTTGCAGAAAACCCTAGGTCGACGAGATTCAAGTGATGACTGGGAGATACCAGATGGCCAGATCACAGTTGGACAAAGGATAGGCTCTGGTTCATTTGGGACAGTCTATAAAGGGAAATGGCATGGTACGTAATTACTGCAGCAATTATTTGTCACCCAAAGTATTTAAAACAATTATTGAAATCCCAGCAGATTTCTTTGTATTAAGGATTTTGAGAACCAATTTTGAGAATTGAGAACCAATTCTGAAAGCTACCAAAAATATTTTATCAGATAAAAACTAACTTTTTGATTAACGTGCATTTGTTAGGATCCAGATATTTTTATTTTTGTTTGATTTTTATTCCACATTTATTATAGTTTACAATAACTCAACATGACAAACATACCTAATACTTCGTCCCTTTGTTTTCCCCACAACAACAACCCTGTTAGGTGGGTTGGACTGAGAATGACTGGCCCAGAGTCACTTAGCTAGTTTTTCATGCCTAAGGCGGAACTAAAACTCATGGTCTTCTGGTTTCTAGGCCAGCATCTTAACCACTAGACCAAACTGGCTCTCAATGATACTTTAGTTCAGTGCCCAGGGCAGTACTTATTAATTATATGATCCGGTTTACAAAGTGACTTCCCCAATCTGAATGGATCACTGCTGAAACCCCCCATTTCAGTAATAGTTACTTGACTATTACTATTACAGTAATCGGTACTTGACCACTATACTGGCTTCTGCTTTTATGGTTAAAGAAAAGTTGCAACAAATATTCCCATGGTGCTTTGAGCTTGTTTCTTGAGCAGCTTTTTTTGTGCTGCACAGTAAAATAACATCAAAAATAGAAAAGGACATCATAAAAGGTTTACAGTGCAAGAAGAGAATGCCAGTGAGAAATGTTAGCAGGGATATCGGCCTATAGTTTTTGATTTGTTGTGGGTCTGTCTCTTCCTTATGAATCAAAATGATGTATGCCATGTCTTGTGTATTTCTTTTTTTATCATTACTTCATTCATAACCTCCAGCATTGGGATCAATAGTGAATTTTGTAAAGTTCTATAATATTCGGCTGGCAGTCCATCTGGCCCTGGTGCCTTTCCATTCTTCTGTTTCTTAATTGCCTCAGTTAGCTCCATCATCGTTATGTTTCCGTCCAATAACTCTTCAACCTCTTTGGGAATTTTTGGTAGTTTAGCTTTTTGTAAATACCTTGCCACTTTAATTTTTGAGCAAAATATCCGTAGTTCACTTTTTGAAATTCTTTTTTAAGGTGATGTTGCAGTGAAAATGTTGAATGTTACAGCTCCCACCCCTCAGCAGCTACAGGCTTTTAAAAATGAAGTAGGAGTTCTCAGGTAAGATTATATAAATTAAATACAGGTGACACAACCAGAAAAACCACTAACCTTTAAGAATTCATTTAGATAATAGCAATAGCACTTAGACTTATATACTGCTACATAGTGCTTTACAGCCCTATCTAAGTGATTTACAGAGTCAGCATATTTCCCCCAACAATCTGGTTCCTCATTTTACCAATTTTGAATGGATGGAAGTCTGAGTCAACCTTGAGCCGTTCAGAATCGAACTACTGGCCTGCAGTACTGCATTCTAATCACTGCACCACCACAGCTCTTAATCAGAAATGACCTCTGCCTTTCCTGCTCAATTGCTCCATACATGTAATCACTAATAATGGATCTTGTCCTTCTGATCCATCACTTTTTTTTAATAGTGAATTGAGGGGATGATTGCTCAGGTATTTTATAAAAACGGGGCTACTTAGAACAAGAAAAAAAAAATCTCTGGATGGCTGACCTTTTAAAAGCAAGGAACAATGAAAAACAGATCAAGTATGTCCAGAAATGAAAACCATGCAAAACAAGAGTGCTAGAATTCTATAACCACCAGTAGGAGAATTTTATTCTTCCATACTTCGTTTGCTGGCATTCTAGTGGCATCTAATTCAGTCTAAATGAAGAACAAAATGTCAGACTTTATATGATTTGATATTTAAGTGAGTGCTGATTTAAAGCTTTAATCTCTAGAATAGCATGTTATTGCTGGATTTTTTTTCCCAAAGTAATTTTAAGTTTTCCTTTTTTCCAACTCCATAGGAAAACACGACATGTGAATATATTACTTTTCATGGGTTATTCAACAAAGCCACAGCTGGCTATAGTTACACAGTGGTGTGAAGGGTCCAGTCTTTATCACCATCTACACATCATTGAGACTAAATTTGAAATGATAAAGCTGATTGATATTGCACGCCAGACAGCACAAGGAATGGAGTAAGTTGGGTATCATTTGCTGAGCAATATGGAGCAGGAAATCTGAATTAGTTCTCTGTGGTGAAATAATTCATAGGAAGTTTCAAACAGTGGAGATTATTTTTATTCAAGATGATATTTAAAACAATCAAATATGTTGATTTTTCAAATTATTGCTGAGTTTAAGGGAATTCATCTATAAATATAGAACACAAACACAAGTGCTTGGAAGTTTTAATCTGCAATGCATTGATTGATTGCTAGATGGTCAAAGACCAAAAAGATAAATAAAAATTCATCCAACATAACAGACATATAGAAATAACTAAAACTATAAATTTTATCTTTTAGCGAGAATTGCTGTGACAAGTCAAATAGCTTATACGGGGATTAATGAAATTTTAAAGTAGGCAACATTGATTAGGCTTCATAAAAAGCAAGTATAGAACAGAGTCTAAACTTTATTCATTGTTAAACATACCAAAGGATTTGTAATGGCAATAGGAATTTAAATCCTAATTTCACAAGATAAAAGCAGTATTGTATTAGTTGGGTGGAAATGTGTGTATGTATATATATACTTTTGTAACTTAATCCAAGTTGTAGGTTCTTCCTTCCAAAACGAGTTTATAGAAACAGCACAAAATATGTTCATGGTAAATATACATAGGATTACAATCCAAGTGTCTAAAATTGTGAGGAGTGGAAGGTGCTGATTACTTTGCTGTAACAAATTATCTTTATTACGACTTAATTTCACCTGGCTTTTTGATAATTCCTTAAGTAAGTGGCATGATCAATTCACTGCCTGTTTTGTTACTTTGCAGTTACTTGCATGCCAAGTCTATCATCCACAGAGACCTCAAGAGTAATAGTATCCTTTAAAAACACTAACTTATCATTCACCTTTTTTCAAAATGAGTAAAAGAAGAAGGGAAAAATGTAATAGTTGGGGTTCAATTGAAGATGCATATGTAGATATTGGAGTAGTTTCAACCTTAATTATTAAAGAAAGCAAATATATATTCTGTGCCTAACTAATTATTGTACATCTAAATATGTTTGGAGATGGGCATCCAGATTCATATGTCTTGAAAACAGTGTGAACAGCGTATTTATCCCAAGTCAAGTTTTTATTCATTCCTGTGATTCCAAATCCAACAATCAATGTGTTGATTTCTTTTAATGAACTTCAGAGCATAGTGTCATAGGACTTGAATGTAGAAGGGCAAAATACATCAGTGTGTTTCATGCCAGTATATTTCATTATATAAAATCAACTATCTCTCATACAAATATGTGATCTGTATGAAACTTTCAGAAGCTTTGGAGTCTCAGTGTCTGCATGGACGTCCATTTTGTAACCACATTGCTTTAATTTATCATCACTAACCAAAGTTAGAAATGCAGTCTGAAAGCCCTCTTAGCTGCATATTGGTGTATCATATAGTCTGATACATGATTTTAAAACTAAAACATTTATCGTAGGAAAGCTTGACGCTTGTTGACTTCATGGACATACCCATTTAATTTCATTGGTAACAATATTGAAGTGGTGTGTTGTTGTCTTCTTTCAGGATGGGTTTTTTTCCATCTTCTCTTTGAAACTTTAATTCCTGGTGGCCTCCCATCCAACTGCCAGCCAGGTCAGATCCTGCTTAGGTTTTTTTTTTCCTTTACATTTCCTGTCAGATATATTTCTTCATGAAGATCTCACGGTAAAAATAGGTGATTTTGGTCTAGCAACAGTGAAGTCACGATGGAGTGGATCCCACCAGTTTGAACAGTTGTCTGGATCTATTCTATGGATGGTAGGTGAAGGGAGTATTTTCCAAATTGTTCACCAAAATTGCACAATCCCTTTTGCAAAGAAAGGAACATTTCCAACATCTTTAAAATGGAAATAAACACTTGGCTTTGCTGAGGGGAAGCTTTCCTAATGTGTAGCAGAATTATCACCCCAGATGGAATGGTTGGAAACCTTTTGCTTTCTATCCAAGACTTTCTCCTCTCACTAGACATCTGAGTCCAAAGTTGTCTTATGTTTTTTCCCATCATATCAATCCCTTTAATATCAGTGATAGACTAATCAACTACCATAATCATTAAAGGGAGGTCATGACTGTATCGCATACAATTTGACTAACTCAGTATCTGCTTAGAAATTACTTAATTTCTATTAATGAGGATTCAGTGAGGATAAATATATAGTTTTTATTTATCGTTTTAGATACTAGTTTCATGTTTGGGGATCTGCAATTGCAACAGATTAAAACATGTTGTTTTCTATGTCACAGGCACCTGAAGTTATTAGGATGCAAGATAAAAATCCATATAGCTTTCAATCAGATGTGTACGCGTTTGGAATTGTCCTTTATGAACTGATGACTGGGCAGTTGCCATATTCCAACATCAACAATAGGGACCAGGTAAGTTGGGGTTGGGAAAGGTGTTATTTCTAAGTTATAGGAAGGTCTCGATTTATGACCAGTTAGAACCAGAATTTTTGTTGCCAAGCAAGTTGGTTGTTAAGTGAATATGTCCAATTTTACAACCTTTTTTGGCCACAGTGGTTAAGTAAATCATATGATCATTAAACAAATCCAGCTTTTCCCATTAACTTTGTTTGTTGGAAGCCACCTGGAAAGGTTGCAAACGGTGATCTGATGACCCCAGGATGCTGCAATCATCATAAATACATGCTGGTTGTCAAGCACCTGAATTTTCATTACATGACTGTGGGGATGCTACAACCATGAGGAGTGCAAGGACTGGTCATTAGTAATTTTTTTCAGTGTTGTTATAACTTTGAATAGTCACTAAACAAATGGTTTATTTAAATTGAGGATTACCGATACCCATCCTTTCATATTGAAGTACTGTGGTACTGACAGATTGTTTGAGCTTTTGCAATGTTGTCTTGTACACATTTCACTGCTTTCAGTTTGGGGTAGATTTTTTTTCAGGTAGTATGGCATAATCTGCTGGTATGTTAGGTGACTTAAATATCTACATTCAAAGATCAATATATCTTTTGTACAAAATAATGTGATAAATTGTAATTATTTGACAACTTTCAGTGAACCTTTTCTTCATTTGAGAATCAGCACTATAGATAATTATGTAACGTTATCTGGGTTATTCAGGTTTCAAGGCTACTACCCTCTAGATATATTATCCAAAACGTCAGTATTTTTAGCTGGAATCTGGTACCAAGCTGCAGAAAGCTGATCTAGAAAGGGAATATTGATTTTTAATATATTTTTGCATTAAGATCTTGGTTTTGGGATACTTGAGTCATCTTGAGGTCTAGGGATTCAGAATTGTAGATTTCTTTTCTTTTGAGCATAAAATAAGTGAAATATGATCTCCCGATTTAATGAACAGAGTAATTAATTCAGTGTGCCAGGAGAAAGAAAAGTGGCTTACTTGTAACAGTAGCAGCTTCCATCCTATACCAAATGATGGTCTTTGAAATTGAGAAGATTTCCAAAATAATTAGCAATGTTGGGCATACTACCTGCTTTTTAAACAAGATCTTAAAAGTCAAGTGAGTATGCTCAAGTTAGGTTTTGCTTTAAGTAAATGTGAATCCCAGTGTTGTTGAAATAAAGTACAGTGTTATTTCTTTTGTATAATAGTACCAAGTAGGCACCTAATTTGTAACAATAATTTTGAGACTTAGTAACATTTCGTAATTTTTTTCTGAATACTGTAGTGAATGGTGGTGGGTATTGACTGCCTAAAATGGTCCTTCTTGTTTAAATTACTATACTTGCTGTAGGCAAGGCATAGATCAATGTGGTGTCTATCTTTGCTTATTTAGAATTATTAAGATCCTGGACCAATGTATTTAATACAAATGGCACTTTGGGAATTATATGCAATTGATGCAAAACTAAAATTGACGGACATGTTACATTTCCTGTCAGCCTTTTATCTTCCAGTGTGGAAAAGAACTGAATTGGTTCTATTAAACTTTTGAAATATGCCTAAAAGTTTTAAGTTTGTGCAGCATTTGCATTCTGTGTCTGAAAAGTGCTTTGCAATATGTAGCAACACAGACTTCCCAGGAAAAGATGCAGTTGCTTTAAGATGTTGCAATCAGGTGCCAAACTCACAGTCCCATGCATTTTTTAAAAAGTTTTTATTTTCTTTTATAACATACAAAAATTCCAATTTCATTTGAACAGTGTGTTGTCTGGGTACAAATCCTTTTAGGAAATAATAAAGTGTTCACAACAGTATTCCTTGCATTAATATCAATTATATTAATAATCATAATCATAATCATATTTGTTTAAACAAGTTAACATATCTTCCTTATATCACTGATCCTTCCATATATTTTTCTGTTTCTAGTTCCTGTTTTTGTCAGCTAGCCATTGATAAAATAAGTCCCAAGTCAAAAAGTATTCAGTTTCTTTCTTTTCCTTAATTGTAAGTGTTAGCGTATCCATTTCTGCAAATTCTAATATTTTTCTAATCACATCATCATCTGTTGGGATCTCTTCACTTTTCCATTGTTGTGCAAATACTATTCTCTGCAGTCAATACATGTAAAATCAAATATACATTCCCTTTGTTATACTTGTCTGGTAAAATGCCCAACAAAATTGTCTCTGGTTTCAAATCTATATGTTGTTTTATCATTTTTTCCAGCCACGTATGTATTTTTGTCCAATATTTTTTCGCTTTTTGACATGTCCACCAGATATGATAGTATGACCCAGGTGTCTGATGACATTTCCAACATTTTGCAGATTTATCCTTAAACATCTTTGCTAACCTTGAGGGCAGAAAATGCCATCTATAAAACATTTTATAAAGATTTTCTTCATATGCAATAGACATTGTTAATTTATAATTTCTATTCCATAATTTCTGCCATTTATCTAACTCAATCGAATAGCCAAAATTTTTAGCCCATACTATCATTGTCTCTTTTACTTGTTCCTTTTCCATTTTAATACTTAACAAATAACTATATATTTTCCTTATTAATTTTTCATCTGTTCCTGTTAATATCTGATCTAATTTTGTAAATTCTTTATACAAACCATACATTTTAACATCCTTCTCATATCTAGATTGTATCTGCACATATGGCCACCATATTATCTCAATCCCTCACTCAGTTACTGCTTAGTTTTAAGTTCCCCCTTTATATCTGGTAACATTCTCTATATCAATAACATTTGGGTAAATCAGTTCCTCCATTGTGGAGAGCCAGACCGGTATTTTCAAATAATGTTGTTCTTTAATTTTCTCCCATACTAATAATAATGCATTCCTAACATAGGGTCTTTGGAAATAGCTATATATTTTGTTTCTTCTGTACCATAAAAAAGCATACCAACCTAATTCAAGATCATGTCTCTCCAAGGTCAATAGTCTTTTGTCCCTCAAACCAACCCATTCTTTCACCCAAGTAAGTATTGAAGCCTGGTAATACAATTCCCAATCTGGTAGCCCAAAGCCACCTCTATTTTTAGAAACTTGCAACATTTTCAAAGTTATTTCCACCAATTTCCACTTAAAGAGTATTTTGACAAATCAAGCCACCACCAAAATCTCCAAATAGTTACAAACTTGCTGTTATGTAGTCCAAAACAGAGGGAGGGAGGGAAGGAAGAAAGAAAAAAAGTTAGTTAGTTCCATGCTAATCTTCAGGTTCTTCAAACCCTAATCCTTTCTTCTCTTGATAGATTTAATAAATTTGATAAATTTATAATCCACTTAGGCCCACCAAGCCCCAAAGTTCAACCACTCAGGTTCATAAATCATCCAAAAGAAAAAAAAGCTCAAACAGGAAGAAAAAAAGAAAATTCTTTGCTGTTTCCCAGCTTTTATTTACTTTATCGGTTTAGCTTTCATCTAAGTTTAAAGAGCTACACTGTTTAAAGAGTTACAGTGTTTCACTCTCTATCTCTGCTGTCTCATATAAACAGAGCAGGTGTTGTTGTAACAAACAACCTTATCTTCAATACATGTCAGTTTTCTCCAGTAGATGTTGTTGTTGTTCTATTTCTCTCCTTTCTCTTTTGTTAGCTTAAATTGTATCATCTCCTCCAAAGCTTTTTAAAAGTCCCAGGGGTCCAAGTTTCATATTCCAAAGAGTTTCCAACTTAATCTATCTCATATTTTAAATCCCCAGTCCGACTTCCTAGCTTTTAAATTTCTTCCCTTTTTTAAAAAAAAATATTTTCTCTATTTCCAGTTCTATAAATAGCTCACAAGTTTACTCGCTACTATTCTTGGGGGTAGAAAACAAACTGTTCCACCTCGTCTTCTTTGAGTCCCACTTTCTCCCAGATTTACTTTAAGGAGGTAAATTCCACAACAGGAGTTGGAAAAATCTCACCCAGATCTATCACACTGTTCCTCAAATTCTATGCTGGGTCAGTCAGCTGTCACAGCTCCAGTCAGGCACGCAATGGCCATCTTTTTCTTCACACCAGATTGAGAGCTTCCTCTGCATCAAACAAGAAGTGTGCAGTCTCCTTGTGATCTGTGGGGTATCCTCTCTGTCTTCATCACCCCTTCAGGGTGATTTCAGTCCCTCAGAACATCCTAGCAGGTCAAATTCAGCATGATTCCACAGAGCCCCATGGAGATGCATTGTATAGTCCAACATCATCCCCACCTATCCCACAGATGCAGTTGCTTAAAGATGTTGCAGTCAGATGCCAAACTCACAGTCCCATGCATTCTTAAGCACTTTTTTGGGAGATTTAAATCCAAAGCACTGTACAGTCATATTTTTTAAAAAATCACAATTGATGAAATTTAGTTTTCCCTTTTTCACTCTCTCTTTCTTTCTGCAAAGATTATATTTATGGTGGGACGAGGTTATCTTTCTCCGGATCTCAGCAAAGTGCGAAGCAATTGTCCCAAAGCCATGAAGAGACTAATGGCAGAATGCTTGAAAAAAAAAAGAGACGAAAGGCCTCTCTTCCCCCAGGTAGGAATTTCTCATATTTGGGTTAACATTTAGCAACAGTAGCACAAGAACACTACAAGAACAAGTTGGCAATGCAATTGGATGTCACCCAGTTAGGTTAGCCTGTTAGAAGATAATAACAGGCACTCATTATCTACACTTTCTTCTCAACTGAAATGTCAACCTTATACCCCTTTTGTCTATGATAATATTAATAGGAAAACCTTCATACTTACATCCTAGATCCCTGATGGCGAACCTATGGCACCCGTGCCCGAGGTGGCACGCAGAGCCATCTTTCTGGGCACACGAGCTGTTGCCCAACTCACCTGCAGCTGCGCTTGCGTGCGCGCCCCAGCTGACGTTTAGGCCTCTGGTGCGCATATGCCTAATTCAGGGGACCCAGCTGGTCTTTGGAGCTCTCCTGCACATGCACATGCATTTGCGCATGCATGTGAGGGTATTTGCATGCAGTGCACGCATGCATAGATGGCGTTTGCATGTCTGTATTGCGCACCCAAAAAACGCATGCATGCATAGATGGTGTGATTGCACGCACAGCACACTGGGGGGAGCCCTGTGAAAGCCATGTGCGTGATCAGATGGTGTAGTTGTGCGCGCAGCACACGGGGGTGCACATGAAAGCCGTGTGCATGTGCAGATGATGCGGTTGCACGTGCAGCGCACAGGGGAGGAGCTGCACTTGTGCGCAAAGCACACAAAGGGTGTACCTGTTCAGCACTCGGTGAGTAAAAGGTTCACCACCACTGTCCTAGATTATGCACACCAGATACCTATTTAGCTGTGCATCTCACAGCAACTCCAGCCAAGAATAGTCTAATCTTTGAAATCTTAGGCCCATAAACAAAATAGTGTAACAAACATATATAGAAGTAGGGCTTTCTAGTTTAAATAATTCCATTGCTACAGGGATAGGTTTAGCCCAGTGATGATGAAGAACGAAGTTCCATGATAATGGAACCAAGGTTTGATTTTAATCTTTGAATAATTCCCCCTTGATAGTTAAAGTGCTATTCTGTTTAGAGGAGGCTGCTTTGATAAATAAATCTGTCTCCACTCTGAAAATGTATGTTTCCTATCCAGATGTTTTGACGATCAATCCCAAAGTGAAAAACCACAGGTTGGAATCCTTCGGATTTTATTGGAAATCCTGCAGAGTTAGGAAGAAAACAATCAGATTTAAATAATTTGACCATCCACTTTTTTTTCAGTCAAGTTTTTCAGCAAAATGTAGCACCTTCCCACTCCTGCCTTGCCTTTGCGACATCAGGAGAGGAGACTGAGGAAGGATCCCCCCACAGTACAATCTGTGAAATATTTATGCTTGAAATTCTTGTAAAAGCTGCAGTTACAACTTCAAAGTTGTTTGGAATGAGCTTTTAAATGGTTTCAGTGCTTTCCTTGGGTTTTGCCTTTGCAGCATTCCAGTTGTGCTTTAGGCAGTATGGTGTCTCAAAAGCCTTTGATTTTCATTGAATTTTCATTGAAAAGCGGCAGATTGCAACTTTAAATATTATTTGTGATACATTGTGTCCATATAAGTAATGCTAGGTTTTCCTTTGTTTTCAGATCCTTGCATCTATTGAGCTTCTAGCCCGGTCATTGCCAAAAATTCACCGCAGCGCATCTGAACCCTCCTTGAACCGGGCTGGTTTCCAAACAGAGGATTTTAGCTTATATGCTTGCACGTCTCCAAAAACACCTATCCAGGCAGGGGGATACGGTGGGTTTTTGGTAACAAATTGAAAACAAATTGAGAATGATTTCTAATTCCATTGAGCAATTTAAAATTATTGACAAAGATGGACTGACTGACTGGCTAAGGGTTTATCTAATCCTGGGCTTTCAGTTTGCTCAGATTAGCTATCTGTTGCTGGCAACAGAGGGTCCTCAGAATTGCCATCCTAGAAAAGCTCATGAATGCCTCTTCATTAAAAAGATTTTCAGAAACTAATATGTACCCATTTGTGTTTGGGTTATAGGTGAAATGTTTCTTTTTTGTTTGTTTCATTGTTATAGTTTAATTTGATTCTAAGTAGAGTTTTGTGTTTGCATTTAAAAGTATTTTGTGCAACAATTTTAAGTCGGCAATATTGATGGCAATGCAAAAAAGGTAAGATAAAAGAGTATAAAAACTAGGTGCCTCTTGATTTATTTGGCAAAGTTCACAGCATATATCACAGAATATCAAGGCTCTGGCCAGTAGCATGTGTCTTTTTTAACTTCCTGCTCACCCAAAACAATTTTTTTTAATACAGAAGTCTTTATTTTCTTTTGATATTTCTGTTGACTAACACTACCTTTATCTGTGTGAAATTACCCCCATTATGTGCCTTTGCACTTTTCCCTTAGGTGTGTAGAGCATCATGAGGCTAATATACTTGAAGGGGATGTAAAAAGCAGAAAGAAAAACAGAAATATGTCTTGTTTTTGTCTCTACAATTGTGTGTTGAAATGGCTGCTATGTATTAAAACAATGATGCCCATAATGGGGTAAAATAGTCCTGTAAAAGCAGAGTGGTAAACTTTAAAAGTTGTTTAAAGGTGGGATATAAAAGTTTTACCACCAGTTTTCTCTCAAAAGTCAATGGCTTTGCTGTTGTTGCTCAATATTTTGTAGGTTAATGTTTCTTCTGAAATCTCCTTTCTGTGGAGAAAATGTTTCATGCTTTTGTATGGAATTTATCCAGTTAAGTTCAGATCTCCAGTAAAAGCAAATTGTAATCCAGGGTTTCTTGGATTATTCCATTTCTCTCTCCTCTGCACCTTTTTTCCTTAATTTGATATTTTGTGCTGGAATATCTATTTCAAAAAGTAAATCGTAATATTGCCATTGTTACATTGCCCTTGGCTTAAATAATAACCTTTGTTATTGTCAGCATTGAACTTTTTGTCTAGATCTGTCTTTCTCAATTTTATGCCCCTTTAAGATCTCCAGGATAAATCTTGGAGACAGGAAAACTGAGAAAGGCTCCAGGTGGATTGATATTTGCTGTACTTTATTGTTCATGACAAAGAATTGGGTACCTTCCTATATCTCTTAGCAGCTGCCTTACTTTTTCTGTCTGGTAGAAGCATTTGATTTTCCAACATAATATAGCAATGATCATGTTGCCTATGATCTCTGAGAGTTGCAATCCTAACAAATCTGGGGTTTGGATAAAGTGACCATTGCTCTCAGAGACTGGGAGATAGGTAACATAACCTTGTGCTAATGAAATAGCGTTGATTTTTAATCATGCTTGCTAGGAGGAGGGAGATACTTCCATAGTAGGCAGCCCTCTGTGGCGTATCAAATGGCCACTTAGACTTGGAGCCACCTGTCTAAGACATCTGCTGAACTGATGCCCCTTTCTGACCCTTTCTTATATTTTGTATATACTTGGTTTGAGGTAGTAGTAAAAAGTTGCTTAAGGTTAAAAAAACCCTCTATAGCAGAGTAAAGCTTATATCACTACCTGATTGGGATTACTGATGGCACGTACTACTAGCATGTTCCTTCCTTGTTGGACCTATTTAATTTATAAAACAAAAGTTTAAGTGGCAAATCTTCTCTCACAGCAGTTGCAAACCTCTATACTTTAGCAACATTGAACAGTGATAGTTCAAAACAACAATTTCAACTGAGCAAAGAATAAAAGGAAAGAAGCTTGGTATGTTTATCAGAAGTTGTTGGGAGTTAGTAGCAAGAGGTGTGGTATCTCAACATTTTGGCTGCTTCTAATCATGCAACAGTCACCCAGCTTTGCAGTGCTTTTTTTTTTGTTTTGTTTTTTTCTTATGACATTTTACAGTATATATATTAAATTTGTATTGCCCTTCATTTTCTTACATCAACTAAGAAATGTTTATTGAAGTATTGGCAGTTTATGATTCTAGGTCAGTTTCGAATGCCTGCTTAGTGAACAGGACATACAAAACTTTGGTAATATTGTGTTACGTTATTCTTACCTGTAGGGTATCGTTAGATAATCAGTTTCCAAGAAACTGTTTCTTGTATAGTTCAGGAAATGTCAGAATGCAGTGTTCTGGTTATCTATTAACAACCATTAAATTAAACTTTCAAATGCTCTTTTCTTGAATCTGAAACCAAAATGACTTTTAATACGACTTGAAATGGCCCTCGTGCTTTGAGAGGAGGAACTGAACACACTGCATGCCATGCTTATATGACTAGGTGAAATATGAAGCTTTTTGTTCTGCAACCTTGCCTTTACCATTTCTTATCACCATTCGGAATTGTTAATATAGAAGAGCAACAGGAACAAAATTGTTAATAAAAATTAATTGTTAACCATAAGCCTGTATACATGGACTCAAGATGACTGAAAAAAATACAGTGGAAATGGGTAGAACATAAATGTTTTTAAATTGGCCTCAAAGCATGTTATTTGCTCCATATTAACGCATTAATTCAGAAGCTATTTATAAACAAGGTAGGTTTTTTAAAGATAAATGGCAGTAGGGAGTCATGTATTAAACTAAAAAGTAACATGTATATGTAAAGCATTCTTGCATTTTTGTATTATTAATGGACTAGTAACATTGTAAACTACATTTATGCTAATAGGTAGTTGCCATTCTGGAGTCAAGCTATTAAAAGGTGCACTTTCTAAGTTTACATCAATATAGATGAAGGGATTTCCATCTACTTTCTGACTCCTAAATTAGTGAAATGTTGGTTGTTTAGAGCTCCTACTATTCACCCTCCTTTTAATATTTGGTCTTTAGGCTTCAGCTACCATTATGTTAGATCTTCTAACTTTGTAAGCTAAAAACACATGAATAGGAATCGTAGAAATATACAGGATAACATTTTCTGCTTGCAAATTGATTAATAGAACCCCTTTTACAAGCTCTTGTAAAATGGGCCAGGTTTATTTTACTGATAAGATTTTGTTTGAGTATGCTTTTATTCCATACGTCCAAAAGATCCTTTGGCACAATTAACTATTAACAGTTTCATTTCTCCCTAACAAGATGTCCGGTATATAGCATCAAATTTATACTGGATAAAGTTTCTGTCTTTCTGATGAATTAAACCTAACTTTTAAAACTTGATTCTTATCCTCCCTCTACAGGCGAATTTGCAGCGTTCAAGTAGCCACAGCATCATTGGCAGCAAATCCACTCTTTATTTTTAAAGTCTTGTGTTCCGACCGTTTCTTTTTAGAATATTCAGACTCGCTTGTGCTCCTCTAAACACTGCAGTTTAGAAAAACTATAGATCTGTACACTTCGATCAGATCAGAAGGGAGCTCCCAATCCAACCTTGGGTGGAAGGGAAAAGCTCTTGTTTGGGACAAGCGCTTTCCGCTGCCTCTGTGTCCCCCTCCAACAAAAGTCATGTGCATTTGAAGATCTCTAGTGGCTGCCTGTACCGTTGGCATCATTCCCAGGAAAGAGGGAGGGCTGCGCTTTGACTTTCTGGTGCTGTGGCATGATGAAGTTGGAACTCCTTCTGCATCATAGGCTTGGGATGATCTGCTGGCCGGCTTTCTCCCTCTAACAACGATTCATCAGAGGCTGAACATCTGATGAGACAGAGCTAATCAAAACAATCATCCTCTGGTTTGATTTTATTTTGTGTGTGTGTTTCCTTCCTGGTGTGCTTACTGATCAACAAAATAAGTGCGGTGTTTCCTTTTCAATTGAACTTCGCTCTTTTGATTTCACAAAAAGAACATTCAGTTCGAAGAGTCAGTCAGAGTCATTTGAAAAGGAAAGGCGATTCTGCACTTTCCAGAATTGCTTTTACCTCCTATTCAGAGCCATCCTTTTCCCCATCTTTTCCTTTTTGTATACTTTTGGAATGGGTTAGGAGCCCTTATTTTGTCGGTCCAGCAACAAATGTTTTTACAAAACTGTAGCAAAGCTCAACATGCGTGGCTTTCTTTTCATTTTGTATCGCGAATCTGAATCTGTGTTTTGTGTGTTGAACTTTTTGGGGTTGCCCAGAAAGTCTAATACAGACTATGAATAACAAGTGTACCTATTTTAAAAGGTACAAGGTAGTGTCAGGTACCTAACGTTTCATAAGCAGACATTCTCAGGTTGAATTGAATATATTTCAAAAATTAAACTCAGCCACAACCTTCCCAAAAATTAGACATTCCAAAAAAAAAAAAATGTGCTTTGGTACTTTTTTTAAAAAAAGCAGAACTTTTAATCATGTTAACTCAGCAAACTGTGAATGAATATTGTGTGCATGAGAGAGAGAAAATGCAGCAAATTGGCTTTAATGGCAGTTTGCTGTTTCTTTTGTTGTTGTTTTTCTATACAAATGGTACTTGCTGGATCAACACTACTCACCTTGCCTATCCTCACCTTTTCCCATGCAATTTCTTTTCTTGCCCTTATTTTGTATCCTTGGTGATTCCATTTTGGTTTTCTCTTTATGCCTTGCCCTTAAATCTAATTTGCAAAATGATTTCCAGTTCTTGTTATTATCCAAACAAGATAAAATGATACAAAAATCAGATGTTAGGTTATTTCTAGTAGAATTATGAAACTATATGAATTATGAAGTAAGCAGAATTCTCTATGGTGTGGTGATTTTCCTTTTTTGGAAAAGGATAGTTGTGTGCCACTGGAAGAGAATTCATAAGAAAAGACGCCTTATTACTCTGTCCTGCCCTATATTGATAGGTAGGAGGCTGGAATAGCCCCTGTACTAGCATAATTTCTAGTGGATGAAACTAGATTATCTATGAAAAAGTCAAAATTCAGTGTTCACATGTTGATTCTCCAATACTGTAGAGCTGTTACTAAAAAAGACAACAAAATATTATTTTTTAGCAAAGCTTTGTTCATAAAACTTGGGTTTAAAAAAAACATATTACCTTCATGGTAAAGGAACTATGTAGTGTATTTGATTTTTTTTTTAATTGAACCAAGGTTCTTACAGAAATGGAAGCAAGAGGCGGTAATGAAAAAATATTATGTATTCAGACACTAACAGGATAGTGAGTAAAATTGCTTGGTATTATTTCAGGGAAGATGCATTTCTGCATAAGCATCACTGAACTGAAATGAAGTGATGCAGGAAGTTATAGATGTGTTCTTGGATGACTCCTTTTCACTTCAGTGATTGGTCTGGTTTGAGAAAGCTTTCTAAGAATTTATTCAAAACAATGAGATTAAAACAACTTGTGTCATCTTCCAAAAAGTATATAAGATTTGTTACAAATGTAAAGCACAACTCTAATGGTGGTCTGCAGTAATTTTTAAATTTTCAGAATACAGATTCTCTTTTCAACTCTTACCAGTTCCACTGCCCTCCTCATGGCCACCCACTGTCAGTAATGTGTCCTAAAGGGTGACTATCATACGCAGTAAGTTGAAGCATGTATATTGTTTTTTGAAGACAGGAAAACTACAAGAAATCTTTGCTGTCCTCCTAAATTCATGCAGAGAAAATATGATAAAGTAGTAAACTCCTTGAAGCCAATTCTTCTCAGATCACAATAACATTGATTTATTATTAGATTTATATCCCACTTTTATTCTGTACAGCTCAAGATGACATATAGCATGCTGGGCAACAAAGAATACTTTTGGCTCCATAACACTCAATATAGACCAGTGTGGATCATTTGCTAAGGAATATTGAGCTACCTCATATTCTGTTGATTGATGGCAGGCAGAACCAACATTCTTTCAGACTTCTTTCCTCCTCCTCCTTAGATACTCTGTGTTTCCCGAGGAGAGCTATCGAGTGGTTTATGGTTTATGATTTGTGGGAGTTATTAAATATTGGCATGACTAAAAATACCTGTGTTTTTCTTACATGCCATTAAGAAGTCTGAAAAATATAAGTACTAATTCCAGTTGCTTCATCAAATTATGCAGCATTGGGTCAGTGGATAAAAGCAGTTTATGAAAATTCTAATTACACTGACTGTATTATTGCTCCAAAAGAATAAATTTAGGATAACCATTTATCAGTGCCCCTTCACTCTTGAATCCCAAATTGTTTGATTTGAGATCATCTACATGTGCATCAGAAAAACAAAGAAGCAGCACTATACACCAATCACATTTCTGTTGGTTGGTTGGACTGGCTGTACTTACAGCCTTACCTTTTTAAAATATTCCTGCATTTACGTGTTCTATTTCATCTTTACTTCTTTGGGTGCTAGGATTTACAGCAGTTGTTTTGCTTCCTCCAAGCAGCATATCCATGTCATTTCCATAAACTTCTCTAAAATATTGGATGTTGACATCTCTTCTATACAGGATTCCAGTATATTCCTTCCATCTTCGTTTGATCTTCTCTAAATTAGTTACTGCCTGCCCACTGATGTCTTTTACGTGTAACTATTTGGAGTCCAAACTTCCTCCTGTTTTCAGAGATCCTTTGGATAACTTTTCTTATTTTTTGTGTTTGTTTCCATCTTCATTGTCTTTTCACGTGTAGCAATAACACTCCTTGTCTTTTTAAACAGCTCTCTAAAATTCTTTATTAAGTTTCCTGAGATTTTTATCTTGGCTTTGCCTTCTCTTCTCTTCTCTTGGCAAGTCTCACCATTTGTTTTGACACTGTGGGTTTTTTTCTTTTCTTTTCTTTTCTTTTTCTTTTTCTTTTTTCTTTTTTTTTCTTGGCAGTTTCTTTTCATGTTCAGTAACTTTTTCATTCCACAGTTCCTCTAGATCTATATCAATGAGGTTCAGGACTTCAAAGCAATTTCTGATATTCTTCTTGAAAATGATAGGTACATGCCCAAAATCATTTTTCCAAAATCTGGCTGTCTTTATCTTGGCTTGCAACAGTTTGTGATTTGTTCTGTAGTCAGTCCCTAGCCACATCTTTGCTCAGCTAATTCACCTCCTTATGCCAGCAATGTAATCAGTTTGATTTCTTTGTGGTCTCTCCGATTATGTCCCTATACATAGGAGAGGATTTTGTTCGTTGAAGAATGTCTTAGCAACAAAGAAATTACTGGACTGGCAGAAACTGCTAAATTATTTTTCTGTTTTCAGTTTTCTTGGCCATAGAGTCTTTAGTTTTCCTCACTGTTGCCAACTATGGCATTCCAGCTTCTAACCATAAGCAGCACAACTTTCTTGCAAGTTCTAACAGAATAATAGAGTTGGAAGGGACTTTCTCGTCTTCTAGTCCAATCCTCTGCTCAAGCAGGAACTCCTTAATATCCTCTTCTGCATCACTGTTTAATAGCCATATTATTAAAGGGCTGTCTATGAAGACTAACTTTTATTATTCAGTCATTGACTGCATTAATCCAAATACTGTCGTTGCTTTCCTTCTTTGTTTTTCACGGCGTGGGGGATAAACAGATCTTCTGACTAAAAGAATCCAATTCCTGTCCGTTTTAACTCACTGATGCTTAGGATTTTAGTGTGCAATTAGTACTCTGTGTTGAGCTTTTCCATGTTCATGCTTTTTACATTCCATATTCTCACTGTAATTCTGTCTGTACAACTTTGGACTTTCCTTTCCTGCATGGCAACAACTACAACTAGATAATAAAGAAATTATGTTTGTTTGTTTTCACTAAATCATCCATATATTTCTAGCATCTTCCTATATTGCTTCTCTCTGGCATAGATACTTGCTTGTCTTAGCTAGGTATCTGAGATGACTTCTACACCTTAGATTTTTGTTTAAATCTCATATTCAAAACATATTTTTCTAAGTAGATATTCACCATTTTTATTCATTATGACATCCCTAAAAGACCCAAACCCTTTTGTGTATTCTTTCACCCACCATTCATGCTACCCAAAAATATATTCTCCCACAGTTCCCCAAACTCATCCTTGGTTCTGAGTATTCACTGGTACACACATTTATGGATTCATGTTTTTATATACATCTTCAATAACCCAGATGGTGCTAGATCCTACATGATAGCCCTTTAATTCATAATTAAATCCATTTTCATCAACTCCACAAGATCACACGGACTACTCAAATATACATCATTCCCATTTTTCCTAAGACATAACAATTTTCACTCTTTTCATTTGTTAATTCATGCTCTTTACAGTTTACTCCTTAATTCCAAGTTGCAGTTCATCCCCCTCATAGTATTGGACCATCTAGGATGCTTTATGGTGAGATAGAATAAGGCTAAATCAACTGTATTAATTGTGCCCATATCACCATTTTCTGCTAATGATAAGAGTAATACTTCTGGCATATTGACCAAACCATAGAGCTTGGGTATGTTTTGGTCAATATGCCAGAAGTGCAACCTGATTCTAAGTTTACTCCAATGCAAGGTAAAATCTGTAATCTAGATACTACTGCCTTGCAAATCATTTATAGGAAGTTATAAGCCTGGATATGCTTTGATTCTGTCCATCTAAGCATAAGGCAAGCCATTGGTTTTTTTCCCCCAGTGTTTATCTTCTACTGAATGAACTTAACATAATTGAACACAAAATTGGGATGGGAATATGGGAATGATTCAGGTCCTGCATTTAAAAACAGTGTAGTTTGAAGCAATTAGGGCAGATTGGTAAATTAAACTCCTACAGAAATCATTGCCTATCCAGAAAGACGTCAGACATGGAATTCTGATTTTCTAGCACAATATGATCCTGTTTTCTGAACCCAGTAAATAATGTACACAGTAAAATCATTTCAATATAATAATTGGGTGTCAAACTGGCAGCCTGTGGGCCGGATGCGTCATGTGCAGGCCACGCCCACCCCAGCTCCATGAAGGGAAAAAACATTGTGATACACCACGTGACAGCAACGTGACACGTTGAGTTTGACACCCGTGATCTAACATATTTAATCAGGAGATTAAATATATAATATCCCTTCAATTGATATTTGAAAGATTGTTTTAATTCTTTGTTAGAATTTGCCATTAGAGATGCCATTCTAAACAACCTGAGAATCAATTCAGTAAAACTGATTTCTGAGTAAGAATGTTGTACAAATTGATTTTAATGTTATTACATTAAAACAGGAATCATCCTGGTCTTTTGAACGAGAATAACTGCAATCAATATATTAATTCCAAATTAAAATTTATTGAAAAACAGAGACTATTATAATAGGAATACAAATGTTCTTGTGGCTGAACAAAATGGAGGGTTACCTATTCAAGAATTAATTTTGTTCTTAATATGCTGTGTTGAAATTGTGTTTGTTAGCTAATCATCCCAGTGGCAGCACTTACCTCAACAAAGGCTTGTCCAGTTGAGAAATTCTACAACAAATGATAGAATGATAACATTCCTAGGCTTCACCTGACAGCAGAGCTGTGAATTAATGTTTCTGACTGGCATCCTTCTGTATTTTAAAGGCTTTCCAGCATTATGATACTATTACTGGCAGTACTTCACCAAAAAAAAACTAGACAGCTACCTATCCCAACATCCAGCTGGTAGTCTTTGTGAAAGAAATTTCTCTCCAGTCTTATGCTGCAATTTTCACTGCGAAACTTCATTGTGTTTTGTTTTTGAGTTATTTTTTTAATTAGTTGTTTCAGTTTTTGCTATGCTTTGGAGGAGGGGAACAAGTAAGGTATGCATGCATATCTTCTATCTCATTGTATTCTTTTTTGAACCATGAATTCAATACATGGTTCTAAGACTAAGCAACTTTCAATCCACTGGAAGAGAGAAACTATCAAACTATTGGAAGAAAGAATGATGCATAGCTGATCCTGAGAGAATTTATTCTGGGTTCAATCTAAATAATTTATTTCAGTCTAGATTTAATTATTCTATGAGTTCCATTTCTTTTGTAAGCATATCACCCACATTGGATAGGAATTTGTACTGTTAAATATAATTCATGTTTAATCACCAATTGCATATGGAGGAGAAAGGCACCAGTTTTTCCACGAAATTACTGTACACTAAACCAGTAGACTTTTTATCCTTTAGATTGTCATTATTTCACATTTATAGTAAGAAACCTCATCAAAGCATTGCATATTTCAGTAATATATACAACTGAATGTTATTTATTGATTTACAAATTAACTGTAAAATGGTTAGTAGCCTTTCAAAAAGAACAGGATGGTGGGTAGATTGTGAATTATTTTATTGAAGGTTGATTCAATTTTCCAACTGTGGGCATAACTAAAAATGTTTGGTGCTTGAATTCTTGGTTTCTTCATGAAGTTTCACTAAGTTTTATTTGCAGAATTAGACGATCAGCAAAATATTTATTTTGCCTTTATTTTTGTATTGTATCAGCCTTGCCTGTGCTTGCACAAATGTTAGTAAATACATTTTGCTATATAATGGATCTCTCACGTTTAATCTGGGAAATTTTCCTTAACAATTTGCCAAATGGTTGTGCCTTTTAAAAAGCAAGTAAAAATGACCACAATATTGAGATGCTTATATTACAGGAGAGCAAATTTATTTTGACTCCCAATACACTACAGTTTCAAACTTGGGTAGAATACAGGAAACTGTGCATAAAGCAAAATCTCCTGTTTAAATCTCAATAAAACGAATAGCGACTGGATCTCCATGACTGCCATTGGTCTTTTCTGGAGTGTTCCAAATATACTGTGTTTATGTAATATTTACTCCCCAGGTCAGCACTAAATCTCAAGTTAATTGAAATAATAAACTCTTATCATTTATAAAATAATACTCTAGGCAAAATGGAAGAACCATTTTATAAAAGAAAGAACATTAAACATACCTTTGAGGAAGGGTAAAATAGTACAATAAAGGAAAATAAAGTAGGTATGGAGACTACTATGCTAGTTGAAAATTGTCGAGACTCTTAGTGAGAAAAGCATAAAAGATTGGCTTCAGTTGTTCCTCAGGCAACTTGGTGAACTGGAAATCTGTAAATCCCAACCTAGATTCAGTTATTATTTTGAAATCATAAACTTGGAAAAAAAATATAGATAAATAGCCAAGAAACCATACAGGAGCTAATGTGATTTAGTATCCTGTTCTAAATTTATATTTGTGAAGACAGGTTTATTTCATTAGGGTTTAAGAGATATTAAATCCACTGGGTTGTTAAACTTTACAAATACTTAATATCAAAAGGCCAAAATATTTTAAAATAGAGAAATAAACCTTCTGTCGCATAATCTTAAGCATTTCTTAAAATGTGAAAGTAAGACCCACTGTTCTTGAAGACCTACTTCAAGCTAAATTAGCATAAATTGCAGCAATTATATGTTGTAATCTCTATGTTGACAGATGGAATTCTGAACCCGGACATTTATTTTGTAAATGTCAGAGTGTTTTATGTTTATTATATTCCAGTTAAAATATATCAAAAAGTAAATCTGTTAGAATTATTTCTGCTTCCTTTCTGGTTTAGAAAAATATTAAATGGGTGACAGTTTTGAACTGTTAGGCTTTCCCAGATTCTGTATTCTACTTGTTTATGCTCAGCCTAGTTATAGCTGTCCACTCTTTCCTGTAGTGTGTTGGGATTCTGCTAGAATGTTATTATCTATATACATTAGAGAGGATAAGTTGATAGGGAAACATTCATTCAGGCATGTGCTGAAATGGAAGAAAAACGAACCAATAGAAGAAAGAATGGGAACAGTGGGAACTATTATTTGCATTCAGAGTATGAGTCTTGAGTTTAAGTTAACTTCTGATTTAAAAGATAAAAATAAAAACTTAAGTGCAATAAGTGTACTTTGAAATTTAAAGCTGTGAATGGTTAAAGAAATCCACCTCATTCCTTCCAGATTGTTTTTTCCTTTTGTTTTCTGTGATTAAAGTGGCAGTGATCAATATTATTTAGGGTCATTCTCTCCCAGTTTTGGGGAAGAGTTCATACATTCATGACAACCAAACTCCAACCGTAATCCTTGCTTTTTACTTTTTTTATAAAATCGGTTTCTGTATGACAGCACCTATCGTTCCAAATAACTGCTATATTGTAAAACTGGTGTTGCCTGTTGGTTGTCAAGAATGTGCCAAACACCCAATTTTTACAGAATAAAATTGAGCTTGTTGTATTCCTAAGTAGTGTTGCTCTATATTTCAGTACAGAGCATATATTGTGACCGAATTACATAGTCATTGAGACTGAGCACTAGAGGCCCAACTACTGGACTGCAATAGCCCTTCTAGCCTAAATAGAGGAAGTTTGCTTTTGTAACCAGCACCTCTTGGGACTATTAGGGACCAGTGATGGGTAAAAAGTTTCTAAACAGCTGAAAACCATAAATTCCCCAATTTTCTGTTGTGTCTGGAATACAAAATGGCTTATCTTTATCTTCTTTACACTATTTTCCTAAAAGAATTTATATAAAAACTGTTAAGTGCTTGATTATATGGATTGACCTTTTCCCCTTTTCAGCTATGCTGCTTGTCTTCAGTTAGGTATGGGAATTGCACTAACTGGATATTCTCTCCACTGCATTGGAGAATTTCATTCGAATGACTTCTTACCACATGCACTAAGTGTTTTTCTCTCTGCGTTAATCATCACTTCAGGGATTTGTAGTCATGGGAAACAGTAGAGTTGTTCATGATTAGGACTCTGTTGTATTGCTAGGAAATGTCTATACAGGAGCGTGGAGATGTTATAGATACTAAGTTCTTTCCATAGGCTTTCCCTTAACCTTTAAAGTGATGAGCAGAGAACCTTTATGTAGAATTTGTCCAGCTTAAATACTGTAAAGTTAGATCCTATGGAAGTGACTGCAAAGATCAACCAAAAAAATTGCTGAACAAGGTTATTCTAACATGTTACTGAAAAGGAGAAATGTGTTTACCTAATTAGTGCAGTGAACATGTATCTCAACATTGTATTCCTTCAAGATTTTTTTCCCCCCACAAATGTTTCATCCTCCAAAACTCTACAATTTTGACTCTTTTCCTCTTTTAAGAGACAATATTGTTTTTTTAAAGTAACAGTTAAAAATATTTATCAGGACTGCACTTATAATTCACAGGGAAATATATTTTCAGCTTTGTTTTATTGATCACTGCAGCGTTTTCCCATCACCCAGCCTTTCCTTTTCTCCAGTTGTTGACTGTAAAAGCTTATACAGATTTTAGTTGTTAAAATCCTCTAACGTAAATTCCTTTCATTTGTATTTTGAGCTTTTTTCTCTCATGTAAATTTGTACAGTGGGAAATATTGTCCAGTTTGGTTTAGCGAGCATGGAGACATACAATTTAAAATTTAAAAAAATGACAGCTGAAAATTAAGACTGAAGAACTATTTGTGTAAAGTTATTTAAAGAACTCTGTATTATATAAAAGGTTAAAAGTTATATGTATTTGATGTGAATACTGCTATAATAAAGATTGACTGCATGGAGAACACTTCGTATGAAATCATATCATTAATATAATAAGGGTTATATTTGCATCTACATTATGGGAACTTCAGAGCATTAATTATATCAATGAAATAGAGCTCTTCAGCAGGAACTGGATGTATAACCACAGAATTAGCTCTGAATGTCTTCGTTTTTAAATTCAACACAGTGATATATTGGTAGAAACAGTGTAAAATAAAACACATGATCTGGCTTTATGGTTTATTTGTTAAAATTCATATTTATGTAAAGCAAAATATTTTCTATAGTCTATAAACAATGAAGACAAATAATTCAGATGAATCTGTAAATAACTATTTGTGTTTCTCAACCTTGGTAGCTTGAAGATGGGTGGACTTCAACTCCCAGAATCCCCCAGCCAGCAGCGCTACCAAGGTTGAGAAACACTGAACTATTCAAACTACATTTGAACAAGACAGGCAGAGTCAGTCGTAACACAATTCCATCCTTAAGACCAGATTCTAAATGCTGATTTAAGTGTTTTTCAAGTCTGCTTATTGCTATTTATTTATTTTTAAAATCTGAATAATTCCTAGTATTATTAGGAAAATAAATAGGATGAAACAAAATACAAGGTGAAACAGGATGGTGAAATATGCCCCTACAAGTGGGAAATAAGAAATAGCACCGCAGACATTTCTGGTGTAGTTCAATTTTAATGTGATATTTCTTATTTTGCAACAGTAGATCTTAATTAATGCTTTCTTATTAAGCAAAGTATCCTTTAAGAGCCACTTTGAAACCACATGTTTATTATTCATCATCGGGAGGAATTCCTAGCTCTTCATCTGTCCACAAAGAAGGATCTGGGAATGGAAAGTGACCCTGTTAGAGAAAAATAGAAATTTTAACATTTAGGTTACTTTTCAAACAGAAAATTGTTTCACTGTCTTGAATCAGGCACTTCTGCAAGCAGACAAAAAACTGGATAATCCCAGTTTCGGAGCATAGCTATAATCCAAAAATATTTCAGGGATACATAAAAGCTTGTACACAGCTTTCTTCCCCTTCCAAAAACAGCCTCCCAGCCAAAGTTGAATTTTTTAGAACTCCTGTCAAAAGTATGACAGAATTGGTGTTTTGAGGAAAAAAAATCTAAATCTGAGTAGAATTTTGCATTCCAATTTTAGGATGCGTAAATAATCTTAAAAAGTCATATTCAGCATTATTAGGAGAAACATAACAATTCTCCAATTTGTGTTTCATTAGCAGTTCTCTCATTAAGATGTGATCTTGTTTAGTCAGCCTTGGTCTGAACAAGCTACATTACATACAGTCTGTGGAATGGGATTATTGGCTGATTCTTTTTTCTATATACTCCAGGTCATGTTTCTTATACTTTTGTGTGTACTGCATTCCATATGTAATACTCATTTAATGACCACTCATTCAGTGACCAAACTTAAGACGGCATTGAACATGTAATAGTTATGACTGGACCTGATACAGTAGTCCTTGGATAAAAACAGTTCATTTATGACCAAAGTTACAACATTGGGAAAAAGTGACTTGCAACTATTTTTCTCACTTACAACCATTGTACCATCCCCATGGTCATGTGATCAAAATTTGGATGCTTGGCAACTGACTCATATTTATGATAGTTGCAGTGTCCAGGATCAGTCAATGGGGAAGCCAGATTCACTTAACCATGTTAAGAACATTTCAGTTAAAATAATCTTTCTCTGTTTCAGTTCTAGAATTTTTGGCAGATGAATAACAAGTCTTCAAAAAAGACAATCCTTGTTGAAGCTAATGAGACTTGAAGAATATAATCCCTAGATGGTCTAAATTGGGGTAAACATCTCTAGAATATTGTCTTTAATGCCCTAAAAGTCTTCCTAAAATCCTAGCTTGATGCTCCAGATAAGGTTGAATAGACAACATGTTGCACTAAGTGAGCTCCTAGTCTGTGCAGCAGGATTCTACAAAGCCCTTGCATCTCGAGAGATAGAACATGCTCCTGTGATTCATATGTATTAAAAAAAAACGTGATACAAGTAAAACAGAATGGCCTTTCACCCAGGTATTATATTACAATATATTCTGTGTTAAGAAAACTATTGCTTTACGGTTGTTTCCAATCTAACAGCTCTTACCAGCACTTCATCTGGGTCATGCCAGAAGCGCCACAAAATCCAGAACCACATGAGACCACTGGATGCTTCACCAATGACTACTGCAAACCGCGGTGGTGGTACAAATTGGCGGTATTCCGTATTAACATGTACACCTTCACTTGCCCTGCAAGACAAATATAAAGTAGTAAGCAGTCCTTTAAGTGCATATGTTTAGCAGAGTTAGGTGCTGAATGCAGAATTCCACCAATTGGGAATTCCTGTGGTATTGCATAATGTGACTGAAGAGAAGACAGCAGCATAAAGTAGCTTTCTGTAACAATTTGCCTGGAATTAACCATTTCAATACAATATATTCTGTATTTTGCCATTTAAAAACATAGCCAAAATACACTGCAGCATTTCTAAAATGCTTTAGAGCAGGGGTGTCAAACTCGTGTCATCACGGCGGCATCATGCAACGCATCGGGACTTTTTTTTCCCTTCGCTAAATCGGCCATGGGCGTAGCTAGCACGTGACACATCTGGCCCGCAAGTTTGACAGCCCTGCTTTAGAGCATTGAATACATCACACATTAGCTGATTAATCTTTGCTACCACCTAAAGATGGATTTGAATTTTTCCTATGGTGGAACCTGGATGAAGGAGAAAATTTAAAGAAAAAAAAATATTTTACAAGTATTTACTTCTGAAAAATGCACCAAAACAAACTTCTAGAAACTAGGAACATCCATTCCTATTTCACTGAGGCAGTAAATGTTTCAGAACCTACTAAGCCTCTCTTCCTTGGGCAAACCAAGACCTTTCTTCTAATTTGTGGCTATCCTGGGTGCATATAATTAGGTGTGATTGTTATTGTGTGATAGGTATCTTTCCCTCCATAAGTTTGACACAGAAACAATCACCATATATTGGACATCCAAAACATTTATGCCTTTTAATATTAATGTATTTGGGTATGTGTCCTTCAAGTCCAATTTTGACTCCTACTGATTGCCTAGACTAGTTCCTGAAGGGCTTTTTTGGCAAGGTTTTTCTGAAGTGGCTTGCCATTGTGAGCTCTAAAACATGAAGAACGGTTGCAGGATTTGGGTTTGGCTAGTCTAGAGAAAAGAAGAATTAGGGGTGACATGATAATTGTATTCCAATATTAAGGAGATGCAACAAAGAAGAGGGGAGCAAATTATTCTCCAAAGCATATGAGGGCAGGACAAGAAACTGGTTGGAAACAAATCAAGAGAGAAGCAACTTGGAATTAAAGAAAAACTTCCTAACAGAACAATTAACCAGTGGAACAGCTTGCCTTCAGAAATTGTGGGCGCTTCATCACTGGAGGTTTTTAAGAAGAGACAGGACAGCCACTTGTCTGACATGGTATAGGGCAGAGGTCTGCAACCTTAAACACTCAAAGAGCCATTTGGACCCGTTTCCCACAGAAAAGAAAACATTGGGAGCCACAAAACCCTTCCTGTGCCTGACTATTTCTTGAGCAGCCACAAAACTAACATGTAGTTGAATTAATCGTTCTGTTTTCTTCTGAAACTTTTCTTTTCTTGGATTTATCCATGGCTGGTCTACCGGGGGTTGAAAAGCTCAATAAATTGTGTGCCAGTGGATGTCGCACATTGGTGGTTGTGATGCATATTTTGAGTGACAGGGAGCTGCAGCAGAGGGGTGAAAGAGTCACATGCAGCTCCAGAGCCACAGGTTGCTGACCCTTGGTATAGGGTCTCCTGCTTGAGCAGGGGGCTGGACTAGAAGACCTCCAAGGTCCCTTCCAGCTCCTATTCTGTTCCTAAACTCCCTAAGGCTGAGAGCCAAGATCAACCAGCTGGCTTCGTGTCTAAGTCAGGACTAAAACTTCTGGTCTCCCCATTTCTAGCCTGGTGCTTTAACCATGCACAAAACTGGCTCTCCTCTTTTAATACAAAAAGTTTTTTCATAGAGGAGTAAAGCAAAGGCAATTTTTTCCAGGTTCCCTGCTTTCCAAGTTACTTTTTCCTTCCCCATCAGAAATGTTAAAAATTAATCCCTTCAAGTGCTTACAAGAAACGAAAGAAGAATCCATAAAGCAGCACATTAATCTCTACTATCATTGTGTTTCCTTTTCAACAATAACCCCTATATGTATTTCTTTGAAATTAACACTCGCCTCCCCTTTTCAACAAAACTGGGCCCCATAAGTATTTAGAGTTGCTTCAGTGAAATGGGCAGCATGGAAGTTTAATAAATAAATGTATTTGAATACATTTATTATATTCAAATACAATATATTTAAATACAATTTACTGTATTTATTGTAAGGGGCGTGCATAAGTGCACCAGCATGCTTACCGTCCCTGTCCTAATATTCCTTTTAACTTACTCTTTTCATGTATTCCAATTATGTTTATATTTTTATCTGTTATATATGCTTGACAAATAAACTTATGATTATGATTATGTATTAGCTGCCCAATTACAACAGGGCAGCATCTCCTGAGCATTCTTAGGAATTTTTAAAAAACAGTAGCAAGACATATTGAAAGTGGGAAACGAGATATTTAAAATATTGGGGGGTGGGGTGTAGAATGGCGATGATAGCAAGTTCACTGATATTTTGATCTTGGGGGAAACCTCGAGGACTTTTCTCAAAATTGTAGGGGACAGCCATGTTAATCTACTACGGGGACAAAAAAAAAATTCAGGAGTCTAGTAGCAGATTGCCCAGGGAACTCTTTTTATTAAAAGGCATTAAGGTGTTTGTTTTTTTTAATAGGAAGTTTTAAAGATGCCTTTATGAGAGCTTTACGAAATTTTATCCCATTTTATGTGCCTTAGTAAGTTAATTGTGAATCTGCCTTAAGCTTATGCCTTGTGATGAACTCTGCTCGCTGGGAAAAGTGCAAGCAGAGCCCCGTTTTTTTCCCAGCAGCGGAAAGCGGAGCTCAGGCGCCCTGCATCGGATCAGGGAGAACAGAGCCAGGCAGCTCCGCGTCCCCAGAGCCCAGCCTTTTCCCTTCGCCCACCTTGCCCCCAACCCCCAGTCCGGCCAAGCTGCCCTACTCACCGCCGCACTCCGGGGCGCGGGCCTAGCTTGCCTCCGGGGCGAAGCAGTCGACGCAGCAAGCTCAGCCCTCCCGTCGCTCGGCACAGAGGCCCGGCCATCCCGGAGGCCGCCGAGACCTCCTACTGCCCGCCAAGGTTACTTACGGTAGCCAGGTTGGCGGAAGCTCCCGGTAACCCTGGCTTCTGATTGGCTGGAACGGAGGTTCTTCAAACTTGGCCGCTTTAAGACTTTGTGGACTTCAACTCCCAGAATTCTCCAGACACCATAGCTATGTTATGCTATTCTCCAGCCAGCATGCTATGCTGGCTGGAGAATTCTGGGAGTTGAAGTCCACGAGTCTTAAAGCGGCCAAGTTTGAAGACTGGAAGGTCTGCCTGTCTTTAGCGCGCGCTCCAATGGGAGTCCAGGAACAGAGCAGGGAAAGTTTCCCTCTGACGGAACTGGGCGCGGGTTCTTTCGAGTCTGGTCCAGGAGAAAGAAGCTAAACGCCCTTCTCCGTTCACCCCCTCCTCCCGGAGGGACCAGGGTGGATCAGAATAAGAAGTGATAGAAAGTAAAGCAAAGTCTCTTCCAGCTTGGCCTTGGATCTCTGGAACTGCATGGACACAAAACTCTATGACAGAGGTCCTCAAACTTGGCAGCTTTAAGACTTGTGGACTTCAACTCCCAGAATTCTCCAGCCAGCATAGCATAGCATGCTGACTGGAGAATAGTATAGCATATCTGGCTGGAGAATTCTGGGAGTTGAAGTCCACAAGTCTTAAAGCTGCCAAGTTTGAAGACCTCTGCTCTGTGAAGTCTACATCGAAGCCCCCAAGTCATTTTATTGTAAATATTTTTTTAAAAGCCACCTCCTATCATATATTTTTTTTTAAATTTAAAGCGCACTGAAGAGGTCTCCTCCACGAAACGTTTGCAACCCAACTGCCAAGCTCGGAGCTCAAACCAAGCAACGTAACCATTAACCCGAGCTGTGAATATTCAAAGGCATCTCAATAAAATGTCAATTGAGCCCTGGGTCTTCCTCCCATCCCATCACTAACCCAGTCCTGTTCTGCTTTGCTTTTCTTGAGATCCGTTGCGGCTGATTCTGCAGCGGGAGGTACCTGCTTGCAAAGACATTGCAGAGGGTTGTCCTCCCCGATAGAGGCGCTAGAAATGGTTTAGTGGTCCGCGGTGCCTGATGGTTGCTAGGCAGCGAGGTTGTGATTTGGATTCCCGGTGAGTTGGGAGAGACGCAGGCAAAGCAAAGGGGTGGCCGGGAACAGCAGCCTACAAGGAGGTGAGAAGCAGTAAAGGTCCATTGTGCAAATATGATGGGGGAACAGTAAGCACAGTAGAAGAAGATAGCGGTTTGTTTCTTAGAAATAAAAAAGATACAGATATATAATCGTTATGGATAGAGAAACTTCCCAGTAGCTTCTTTAAGTGGTACTAACATTTGCTATTGTATTGTATTGTATTGTATTGTATTGTATTGTATTGTATTGTATTGTATTGTATTGTATTGTATTTTTTTTTTTTTTAATTTGATTTATATGCCGCCCTTCTCCGGAGACTCAGGGCGGCTTACAGTGCGTTAAGCAATAGCCTTCATACTTTTGTATATTTATACAAAGTCAGCTTATTGCCCCCACAAACTGGGTCCTCATTTCACCTACCTTAGAAAGGATGGAAGGCTGAGTCAACCTTGAGCCTTGGAGAGATTCGAACCAGCAGTAAATTGCAGGCAGCTGTGTTAATAACAGGGTGCACTAAACCACTGTAGTACCAAGGCTCTTATATTGTATTGTATTGTATTGTATTGTATTGTAGTATTTTTTTTTATTGGCCAAGTGTGATTGGACACAAAAGGAATTTGCCTTGGTGCATACGCTCTCAGTGTAATAAAAGAAAAGATACGTTCATCAAGAATTATAAGGTACAGCAATTAATGATAGCCATAGGGTACAAATAAGCAATCGAATCAAATTAGGAAACAGTCAATATAAATCGTAAGGATACAAGCAACAAAGTTACAGTCATACAGTCATAAGTGGGAGGAGATGGGTGATGGAAACGATGAGAAGATTAATAGTAGTGCAGACTTAAATAGTTTGACAGTGTTGAGGGAATTATTATATTGTATTGCATTGCATTGTATTGTGTGTGTGTGTGAGAGAGAGAGACACAGAGAGAGAGAGAGACTGGATACATACACACACATACTGGGGATGTCTAGTCTAACGAAGAGAAGACAAGGAGTGACTTGAGAGCAGTTTTCCAAGATCTGAGGAGGCAGAAGTGGGTGGACCTATTCTCCAAAACACCTGAGTGCAAGACAAGAAGTAATGGATGGAAAATTATCTAGGAGAGATCCAATCTAGAATTAAGGAGAAATGTCCTGACAGTGAGAACAATGAATCAATGGGTGCTGGAGGTTTTGAAGATGAATACCCATTTGTCCAGAATGGTATAGGGCCGTGATGGCTAACCTATGACACATGTGCCACAGGTGGCAAGCAGAACCCTCTCTGCGGGCACGCGAGCTGTCGCCCAGCTCAGCTACACTGCGTACGCATGCACGCTTCCCGCCGGCCAGCTGATTTTTGGGTCTGCCCTGCAAAGGAGACGTGCAGGGGACCTACCTTTCTCCTCACATTCTGCTGCCTGTGCCTTCCCAGGTCTCCGGAAATTCCCCTCCCAGCCGTTTCGGGAGGTGAGGCCAAAAGGGGGGGTCGCGTGTGCATGTGCAGGGAGGCGGGGCATGCAGCAGGGGCATTGCATTACGGGTGTGGGCACGTGCGTCGCATGCGGTAGCGTGCGAGCACACACACTTTTGGTACCCGAGGAAAAAAAGGTTAGCCATCATTGGTATAGGGTCTCCTGCTTGAGCAGGGAGTTGAAGACCTCCAAGTTGCCTTCCAACTCTGTTATACCGTTACTGTGTTAGTTAGCTAGTTAGTTGGCATGTGTGTATATTTTGAAATGATTTTTGGTGGATTTTTAAAAAATAATGTCTATTTTTATCTTTAAATGGAAGTTACTTTGTGTAATCTACTTAGAGGCCCTCATTTCCCTGTGGAAGAGATGGTCACAGATTATGGTGTTGGTAGCACCCAGGACTATCAATGACTACTCCATAGTGATTCTAAAAACATCCAGGCAGGTGCCTTTAGAAGCTTTTAAACAAGACATGATAATGAAAGATGTCTCTTTGCTATTGACACACAGCAGTCCTGCCCCTGACTCTAAAGTTCCACTTATTTGATTGATGGTTGTTGACTGATGAATGGAGCAATCCTAACAGAGAATCAAGTGACAGATCCAAAAAAAAACCAGCCTATGAGCTTCAGCTGCTCAGTACAAGATTTTTCAAACACAAGGAAATTAATTAGAATAGTTTCAGAGAATGTATAGAGCAGAAGTGGGTTTCAGCAGATTCTGACCAGTTCTAGAGAACCAGTAGCGGAAATTTTGAGTAGTTTGGAGAACCAATAAATACCACCTCTGGCTGGTCCCACCCCCATCTATTCTCTGCCTCCCAAGTCCCAGCTGATCGGGAGGAAATGGGGATTTTGCAGTAACCTTCCCCTGGAGTGGGGAGGGAATGGAGATTTTACAGTATCCTTCCACTGCCATGCCCTCCAAGCCACACCCACAGAACCAGTAGTAAAAAATTTTGAAACCCACCACTGGTGTAGAGGTGCATAGACCTGGTCTCCGTCCCAGTAGATTCAAGGCTGACTTCATCCATGGTTCAGCATTTATCAATAGCAAGAAGCTTTATATCTGTGCTGCATGAATGCACCAGACTTAAACCAATAGAATTCTGTTCTTGCTCCCTAACTTAAAAATAAATCAGTACATAAAATCTGACTGTCTTGTGGAAACGAATTTCAAGTTTATTTTATCATTCCACGATTCCATAATTTATATAAATTAATTCAAAAGAGACCATTGTTTATCACTATTGGTATTACAAGTTACCTAACTTTTTTGGTATTCGAAATGATTTGCAGGAATTCTCTTTTTTGGAAGAAGAGAAAAAAAGCATGTGAATGCTATTTAAATTTATAGAGAAATTATTAGGGGAAATTGGGAGACTTTACAATAATATAAATAGGCAGGAAATTTAGAGAGTAATGGATTAGATTTAATCTTAAATTGAGCAGAGAGAAATCAATAGAATCTAAATTACATTTATATTAAATTCTACAAATTTCAACAGATCTTGATTAAGTCTGGATTCGTCCCATTCTTGGAAGCAAAAACATTGTGCAAATATTTGAAAAATTGATGAAGTGTCTATATATTTACAAATTTGTCATTAATTTTTATTTTCTGTAATTAACGTTTGTGATCTAGGATGCCTCATCTCTGTCACACGGCTGTACCATTATTGGCTGGCATTCATGAACACAATGTGGTTTTTGTCGTATATACTTCAGAATGTAATCCTTGCAATCCATATATCATGAAAGAACTTCTTATAAGAACTCTATATTCACTGGGTAGCAGACGAATGGATTCCATGTTCAATATCATCTGGTGTTCCAGCAAGGTAATGTAAAAGTTACGAAGTGGAACAAAAGAGCTATTTCACTCTAGAGCAGGGGTCCCCAACCCTGGGCCGCGGACCACTACTGGGCCTTGAGTCGTTCACAACTGAGCCGCGGAACTAGGGGCGAGCGCATGTGCGCAGATCCCCACTTGCTCAAGCAGTGTGGGGAGAGCATGTGTGCGGCTGCTACCGCTCGTGAAGAACTATCCCCTCTCTCCTCCCCTCCCCACCGGCCCACAAGAATGGAAAGGATGAGGAACTCTGCTATTTTTCAATGTATTTAAGAAAAACAGATTGATAAGGTGGGCTGAAAATCTCAACCCCTTCCTAAGCATACTGTACTAATGTGCTGCGAATTCATTGGCGACATCCAGCGGTGGGTTTCCAATATTCTTACCACGGGTTCGCCCCCCGTGCGCAGGCTCACTTTGTACACGTGCGTGCCTTCCGTGCATGCACTTTGCTTGCATGCCTTCCTGTCAGGTTTTCAGGCCATCTTCAAATAAATTGCGTCTCAAACAAAGTCTTTTTTGAAACAAACTTCCATTTTATTTAGCACGGCAACTTTTACACTGACTCCATGCAGCCAGCACTGATGTGCTGACCCAAAATCCCTCCTCTTCCTTCCCCCACTCCTCTGCATTCATTGGCCATCTTCCCAATCATTCACCCCTAATCTATTGCTCTAATTCAAAGAATTTTCCCCCTCCCATCCATCTCCTAGGGGACATTATCTCCAGCTAAAATAAGTAGGTGAAAGGCAACCGTCCCGTTGCAGACACTTGCGTTCTCCTTCTTATGTCAGCACTAGGATAAATGCATCTTGACGTGCTGACACTTCCATGCATTCACCCGGCCTCAAAAATGTGCCTAAATAGGACGGCATAGAACCTGGGCGGGTGGGCGGCCCCACCCGCAATCTCCCCTACCGGTTCACCTAAACCAGTACGAACTGTCTGAATACCACCTCTGGCAACATCGATTTTCCTCTCCCAGTTCATGGGGACCTAACCCTAACCCTAAGTGGGTTTACCCTCCAATGGGATTTTGTCATGTATATAACTTGAACCTGTAGAAAAACTGAGTGCCCTTCTAAGCATACCGATGTGCTGCAAATTCATTTGCTACATAACCATCACTCTAAGTGGGTTTATACTGCAATAGCAGTAGCACTTAGACTTATATACCGCTTCACAGTGCTTTACAGCCCTCTCTAAGTGGTTTACAGAGTCAGCCTATTGCCCCCAACAATCTGGGTTCTCATTTTACCCACCTCGGAAGGATGGAAGGCTGAGTCAACCTTGAGCCTGGTGAGATTCGAACTGCCAAATTGCAGACAGCCGGCAATCAGCAGAAGTAGCCTGCAGTACTGCATTCTAACCACTGCACCACCGCAGCTCTTGTTAGGGCAGGGAAGGGGGGCCTTGCTTAAAAAATGTTTTCAAAATATAGCAACATTTATTTAAGGGAGTAATGTTTGAAAGATGCAACTTGGTAATAGCATTTCTGTTTTGATCCATTGAAGAGGCAACTGATTTCTTCTCCAGGTATTGAAGTGGCAGAATGAATTGGTAGAATGTTCCCTCACCAACATCATAGATGCAGCTTCTTGGATCAGAACTCTGCTGATGAAAAGCGAGGGGAAAGCCAGTGCTTGGAATGCCATTGAAGAAGCAATAGAGGATCCCAGCTGCCAAGCAATATATCTGTTCACCAGCGGATTGCCTGAAGGCTCCGTGGAAGAAATCTGTAGCCACCTTAAAGAGACAAAGCAATCATGTCCAGTGCATATTGTGCAATTGATAGAAAATAGAGACAGCAATATAATTAGCTGTCAAAAGCTATTGGAGAAAGTAGCCACGACGTCTGGTGGTACTTTCCAAGCTATTGATGGAGCTTCCTCTGAGGTAAAATGATAAATGTGGTCATTTTGAATCTGACCACTTGATTTGGGGGAACTGTGATAATATTGTGACTCTTTGGTTAGCCAAAAAAAGATAGTCTGACTTGTTAAAATACATCCATTTGATAACATGAAAATTCAGTCTGTTGAGTTACTTCTACAAAGGCACTTTTTCCCCCTTTCCTTGATTTATTTTGATGCTTTTCTGAGGTATCCCTCTCACAGGAGTTATAAAGAACAAAAATAATCACTAAAGTAGAAAATAAAATCATAATTAATGAAAAATGGTAAAAGCTATAAAATTCATATTTAATATAAAACAGAAATATAAAGATAGTGTGTGTATAGTAAAAGGTGGAAAGAAAAGAGGAGGACAACAGTGGCAATACAATAGGAAGCTCTGGTAAGAAGTAAGCCTTTAGTAGGCACCTATGAATCATGATAGAAAATTCTTCATAAGCATCAGGGAGTCAAAGGAGAGCATTCAGACATATTGCAGAGAAGAATTGTCTTGCCATTCATAGTACGACCCTTTGATATTCTTAGTCACGAAGAGATGAACACATGAAATCAAATAGTTGGAAAGGACCCAAATACTGTGTATTCCCAGAAGAATGCAAAATTATTGCTCTCTTATTTCTTCCACCCTTGTAGGATAAGACTGGCTGTAATTTAGGTTTTCATCATCCTGGTAGCATCAGCAATCATCTCAGCTTCCCTCCACTGGCAGATCACTGCACAAAACTGTAAGTTTAGGCACCAACGGATTTTAATGTTATTATTAATCATTTTACCAATGTTAGAATTTTAGAGCTGTAAATGCCAATAGGGTTGATACTTATTATTAATCCATTCATATCAGTAATCCCAATTCTCTGGTGAGCGATCTTGCACTTCCTAATGCCTGTTGCTTTCCTCTGTCACAGGTTTCCTTTGGGTGCATGGGGTCCAGATACTTGTAACACAGGTCTAAGAAGTCCCATACAAGAGAATTTAGGAGACTGTTCCACAAACAGCCATCATGTGCTGAGGGGGATACGAGTTCTTGCCAGAAAACAGACAGATGGCTATTACTATCTCAGTCATATTGTCCAAAAGGTGAAGGTAAGCTGGAAAAATTAGTATTTTTCAGTAATCATCTCAATACATAATTGGTTTTCTGTTGAGGACTTATAGATGCTGCTGCACTGACTTCTTCCACTTCCTCCTGACTTGATGATTCATTTGGCTTGTGTCTTATACAAGAGTACAATTTTTAAAGCTGTCTCTTTGAACCAGGGTGGTATAATTTTAAAAGGTACTGGATTAGCCATTGTTTTACAGCATAAAAATGTATTTGTATTTATTATGGCTGTTCACCGCCCTGAGTCCTTCGGGAGTAGGGCGGTATACAAATATGAAAAATAAATAAATAAATAAATAACTTTCTTCATACGGCTGTCACTGTGGAAATCAAATTGGAAATGGGAGCTCCTGGGATACCAACCTAATGAATAAAACACAAATACATATCATAAAAGCTTTGGGGGACAACGACTGTATTTGTATTCAAGGCCAGGCTAGACAAAGCTTCTGCTACTATTGAGGAAGATGAAACAGGAAAGTTACACATTTTCTCTTCCTTGAGCTGCCATGGGCCATTCAAGAGAAATAATCTTTCTGAAAAAAATACAGGATAAAGTTATTTGTCAAGGCTCTGGTGAAATGTCACCTACTTTGTTTACATTTATTCAGTTTGATGGTTCTGTTGTGCTGTGCAAACCACTTTAATAATAATATACTGTAAAGAACAAGACATAAACTTAGTGTGTGCTTTGCTTTGAAATTGAAATTGAAATATCTATTTTATATATTGGAGACTTGTGCTTCAAAATGAAGATGGTCAGTATAAGATGACTCTATACAGGTTTAAGGGGCACGATGGCTCAGCAGTTAAAGTTGCTGGAAAGCTGACAGCCTGGGTTAGAGACCCGAGTGCCATATGACCAGGTGAGCTCCCATTACTTGCCCCACTTCCTATCCACCTAGCAGTTCGAAAGCATGCAAAATGCAACTAAATGAATAGGTACTACTTTGGTGGGAAGGTAATAATGTTCGCCATGATGTAAAAAAGATGTTGAGACTTTAGAAAGATTGCAGAGAAGAGCAACAAAGATGATTAGGGGACTGAAGGCTAAAACATATGAGGAACGGTTGCTGGAACTGGGTATGTCTAGTCTGATGAAAAGAAGGACTAGGGGTGACATGATAGCAGTGTTCAGATTATCTCAGGGGCTGCCACAAAGAAGAGGGAGTCAAACTATTCTTCAAAGCACCTGAGGGTAGAACAAGAAGCAATGGGTGGAAACTAATCAAGGAGAGAAGCAACCTAGAACTAAGGAGAAATTTCCTGACAGTTAGAACAACTTGCCTCCAGAAGTTGTAAATGCTCCAACACTGGAAGTTTTTAAGAAGAGATTGGACAACCATTTGTCTGAAGTGGTGTAGGGTACCCTGCTTAAGCAGGGGGTTGGACTAGAAGACCTCCAAGATCCCTTCCAAATATGTTATTCTATTCTGTTCTGTTCTGCTCTGCTCTGCTTTGCTCTGCTCTGCTCTGCTCTGCTCTGTATGCCTCAGCTTATAGTCATGCTGGCCACATGACCTTGGAAGTGTCTTTGGACAATGCTCACTCCCTTGGCTAAGAAAAGAGATGAGCATTGCCCCCTATGGTGGGACATGACTGGACAGGGGAAACATTTACCTTTACCTTTATACAGGTTTACAGGGTGAGATTTCTGGCTTCATTTCACAGGATTCCAATGAACATGTTCTAGTTGAGTTTGAAAGATGCCAGCGATCACGGAAAGGTAAGGCTCCATTTCGAAGGCAAGAAACGCCTCTCTATGACATCATCCATTATGATGATGCCAGGTGGCTGCCATTATCTGCAGGAGATGGGACCCTTGCTCCATGGGACAAGAACGGCAAACGATACGGCCCAGGCATTGTTCTCCAAGTAGCAGAAACCAGGTCAGATTATTCAGGTATGTCTTAAATTTGCCTTCTTTCCATTAAATATCTATTGCTTTTTTTTTTTTTTTTACAATCCAAGCTCAGAAGACAAAGGGATACTACACTTGCCTCCTTTCCAAAAGGGGAGGGGTATGCTTGGAAAAAGAAAGTAAGAGGAAGGAGGGGAAATGGGGCTGCAACTGCTACTTTCTTTCCTGTTTCTCTTCCTCGCAGGCATCCAAAACGCATAAGTTTTACAAGGGCATTCAGAGAAGGACAGTGGCGTTTCTTTGAAAATGTTACGTGGATTTTAGAATAGCCAATTATAGAATAGCTGACTTTTCTTCTTCTTATAATTATAATATAATTTAATTATAAAGAAAATACATCCTTGGGTAGGAAATACCAATGTTAACAACAATTATGCTTTAATTGTTGGGTCTCTCCCACCAGAGCCAAAATACTGAGCCTGTTTCTTGCTGGGGAGAAGCGGTTGGCAAGTCAAGGATTGAAACGGTTAACTTAAAATTTGTGAAAACTTAAACAATCAATTCTGAAGACCCCCTTTCTCCCAAATTGCCCATTTATTCTGGTGACATGATTTTGGGTGGGGAAAAAATGTTACAATACAACACAGTTGTATATAGGTTATCTAGTCCCCCTCTCAAGGGTCTCCTGCTTGAGCGGGGGGGGTTGGACTAGATGACCTATAAATCCCTTCCAACTCTGCTAATCTGTAATCCCTGGTTGCCTATCCCTGCTTTAAAAGACTTCCATAGGGGAACCTGCCAACTGAAAGAAGGATCCACAGAGGAGCAATATCTACTGATGGGGATGGTTGGAGCCACCCCTAACTTAGCAATGAGACAGATGTCATTTCCTTCTAAAATATGGCTCCCTCTGTGTTTCCCTTTACAGCTTTCCAAAATAGCAAAGTGCTGATTAGCTTCTGGAATGGCCGGACCAAGACAATATCAGCAGATGTTGCTGTGAGAATCCCTCTTCCATTGTACGAGCGCATCGTTCTTGAGCTTCAGATGCCATTGACAGCCAGGCAGCTGTTGGTGGAGCAGAATCCAGATTATCCTTCTATTGTGCCACCTGGATATCGGGCTTCGGGACCTTGCATGCGTAACCATTTACCTTGGATGCCTTGGCTTCAGACTTTAAAAATCCATTGTATTGGAGTCTGTGGGAGCAATGCCCATTTTTCTCCTTGGTCTTTCTGCTGCCCACTACAGAATCATAGTACATCTCCAGTAAGTTCAACATGGGCAGATGATACTTTGATACCAAGATTCAGCCCATCAAAAGAGGAGCTGAGCAAGAAGTTAGAAGACCAATTTTCAATAGGAAAGCCTCCCACTTTGGAAAATGATAAGGATGCCAAAGGAGATAGCAGCAAACTAAAGAAGGAAACAAATTTAGCAGATGCAAAATCTTGGGAAGAGAAAGAAATCAAAGTTGCAGAACCCAGCAAGGTACAAGATTATGTTGATTAGCTTATAGCTTATAGCTCACATCAGGGGTGGGTTCTACTTACCTTTACCACTGGTTTGCAACGGGATCGCCTGCACGCACTAATTTTGCTTGCATGTGAAACTTGTTTCTGCGAATGCACAGAAGCTTCTGCGCATGCGCAGATCACCGATGATGACATCCGGGGCGGTGGGCAGGGCCTCCTGCCGGTTTTACTACCGGTTCTTGCGAACCGGTCCGAACCGGGGGCAACCCACCACTGGCTCACATCTCTGGCAAGAAGTCTCCCCACTTCTCCATTCCCCAAAGCAATTATAAGCTATTGCCAGATATTGTTAAAAAAAAATTCTAAGATGAACATCCTAGAATAGTTAAGTATTTTCATCCTTATCATCTTTACTGTATTACAGTGGGGCTTTTTTCTTGATTTTTGGTAGGATCAGAAAGTGATGGATTCAGAAGATGCGACAAACAATACTAGCACCGTGGTTGATATAGCGACCAGTGCAGGCAAACAGACGACTCAACAAAACCAGAAATGTGTGCAACTATATTAAAAGAGTTTTTGGGAGTTTTGGTGACTTACTGATAGACATTGAAACTAATGTATCAGCATATTTTACTCTAATCTTTTGGGCACATTCAGCATTTTTCTGCTAATAATAAAGAGGAGGTCAGGACATCTGGTGATCTCACTGATCAGCAGAAGGGCTTCTATTGCCCTCTCTCAGGGGGAACAATATTTCTGTGTATCTAGTACGGTATGAATGAGGCTCCAGGGATGCTAGCCTGAGCATCCCTCTGTCTTTGGATTTGTACACTTAACAATATTGTCATGGCTACATTCGCATATATGGGATGCGGTGGCTCAGTGGCTAAGACGCTGAGTTTGTTGATCGAAAGGTCGGCAGTTCAGTGGTTTGAATCCCTAGTGCTGCATAACGGGGTGAGCTCCCGTTACTTGTCCCAGCTTCTGCCAACCTAGCAGTTCAAAAGCACGTAAAAATGCAAGTAGAAAAATAGGAACCACCATTGGTGGGGAGGTAACAGTGTTCTGTGCACCTTTGGCATTTAGTCACGCCGACCACATGACCATGGAGACATCTTCAGATAGCGCTGGTTCTTCAGCTTTGAAACAGAGATGAGCACCGCCCCCTAGAGTCGGGAACGACTAGCACATATGTGCAAGGGGAATCTTTACCTTTACCTTTACATCGCATATTGTGTTGTTATGATACAAATGTGATTCTTTGTACTCATTTTCCTTTCTGATGAATTATAAGATACAATTATTCCTGAGAAAAAGGTTATTGTTGAATCAGTCCTTAACCTCAAAGTTATTTTAGAAACATCAGGGGAGGGATGTTACATTAAAAAAAACAATACATTCAAGAATAACCAATACCGTAGAAGCACTCTCGTTTTTTTAAAAAGGAGAAACTACAGATTACTGTAAGCAAGAGTAGGAGACACACAATCTTCAATTATCAACTAAATTAAGAGCCTTGGTGGTGCAGCGGACTAAAGTGCTGTTAAGTAGCACTTAGCTGCCAGCTGCCTGCAATTACTGCGAGTTCAAATCTCACCAGGCTCAAGGTTGACTCAGCCTTCCATCCTTCCGAGGTAGGTAAAATGAGGACCCGGATTGTGGGGGAAATAAGCTGACTTTGTATAAAAAAAGAACACCACTTATGGGGGGCCGAAAGCCCTACTAAGCTGGTATATACAAAAGTATGAAGGCTATTGCTTAACGCATTGTAAGCCGCCCTGAGTCTCCGGAGAAGGGCGGCATATAAATTGAACCAATAAATACATACATACATACATACATACATACATACATACATAAATCCTGAGATAGCAAAACCAAAGAGGAGGAATACCGGTGGCTATACCAGAGTAACATCTGAGGAGCCAAATTTTTCATCTCTTCAGAGACAATCAACCTCATAAAAGGAACATAATTAGGGCCAATAGCCATCTATAGCTCTGTGATGTTTCCCCTTTGCAGATCAATGTCTTCATCATATCTACACCGTTATTGTTATTTACCTGCGCAATGAATGCAATTATTTTCTATGACAGGTTTTTTACAGCCCAACTTGAGTGGATCTTCAACCCAGCTTTCCCAAAGAAATGCTTCTCAGAGAACTTACTTGGCTAACAGTTCCAAACTCCAGGCAAAGCTTGACTGGGTGGACAGGTCCCTGAAGAAAGATCGTGTCGCTATTGAATCTGTTTTGCACATGAGAAGGAGCTACAGTGCACCACCGTCTGGACAGGTGAGAATACTCCTCCTCTCGTCTATATAATATTGCAGGGAAGGGCGACTTTTGAAGACCACAATTCAGTGGTGGGTTCCTCCCAGTTCGATCCGGTTCGGCTGAGCCGGTAGCAGTGACGATATGACGTCACCGAACTGGTTCTCCCCCCCCGCCCTCCCCACCACCCACCCACGTTATTCTTACCTTTTATTTGGTCCCACCCCCAATCTATTGCTGCCTCCTGAGTCCCAGCTGATGACTAGAGGGAAAAAAACTGTTTAAACTCTTGCCGCGGGGCTTCAAAGGGCCGTCCTACAGCTGATCAGTGTTAAAAGCAAACAAATGAGTCGGGTCGTAAGTGTGAGGACTGGTCATAAGTGCGAGGACCTTCCAGAAATGATTCTGACCAGCTAGCCATGCCCACCTGGTCACATGACCTCCAAGCCACACCCACAAAATAAGCCACGCCCACAGAACAGGTAGTAAAAAAATTTAGACCCCACTCCTGCCACAATTGTATACAGTTCATTTATGAAATACTAGGCCTAAAGTGTCTGAGGGACACCTCAGCTTTTCTTGGAGGTGAAGACTAAGACAGATTTGGAAGAAACTTAAAGGTAAAGGTTCCCCTCGCACAAATGTGCTAGTCATTCCTGACTCTAGGGGGTGGTGCTCATCTCTGTTTCAAAGCCGAAGAGCCAGCCAGATGTCTTCGGAGATGTCCGAAGACATCTCCATGGTCATGTAGCCGGCATGACTAAACATCAAAGGCGCATGGAACGCTGTTACCTTCCCACCAAAGGTGGTCCCTATTTTTCTACTTGCATTTTTTATGTGCTTTCAAACTGCTAGGTTGGCAGAAGCTGAGACAGTAACGGGAGCTCACCCCATTACACGGCACTAGGGATTTGAACCACTGAACTGCCGACTTTTCGATCGACAAGCTCAGTATCTTAGCCGGGTCTTTTTTTCAGAAATTACTGGAGAAAGAAGCCCCTTGGGATAGTCCCAGAGAAGTGGATGCCAACCCAGCTAAGATAGACTTCAAACGGCAGAAGTGGGAGCAGAGACAGCTTAGGAAAGAGCAACAACAACAGGAAATCCATCTCAAAAGAGAGACGCGGCTTGAAAATAAGAGGTAATGGAGCAGTATAACCCCAAATTGGGTAGAAGAGAATAATCTGAAGCCAGATAGATGTTCTGTGACTTTTGTTTTCAGTTCTTGTGACTTGTGGGAGATAATATTCTTTGCAAATGGAATGTTCTTGCTTCAGCCACAGAATGGGAGTTTAAGTTCTACCTACGTCAAGGATTTGAGATATTTTAGTCCTCATTGTAAAAATTGAAATAGTATTTATCACACATTATTTCATATGCTGGTAAAAATCAGAGGTGGGTTTCAGCAAGTTCTGACCAGTTCTGGAGAACTGGTAGCGGAAATTTTGAGTAGTTCAGAGAACTGGTAGTAAAAATTCTGATTGGCCCACCCCCATCTATTCTCTGCCTCCCAAGTCCCAGCTGTTTGGGAGGAAATGGGGATTTTGCAGTAACTTTCCCCTGGATTGGGGAGGGAATGGAGATTTTACAGTATCCTTCCCCTGCCACGTCCACCAAGCCACACCACACCCACCAAGCCACACCCACAGAACTGGTAGTAAAAAATTTTGAAACCCACCACTGGTAAAAATATATGAAAATGAAGCATAATTGTTAAAAGGAATAGTAGCAATTCCTTTTTTTCAATTGCTGTCCCTGAACAAGTTTATTATGATTCTGATGGTGTTAGATTTCATCTGTTCCTATTTAGTATTTTCCGATGTATGTATAATGCTTTCCTATAATGCATGAATCCTGATCCTGTAAAAAATTAAACATAATGTTGTTCTCTGAAATGATCTCACGTGAGCCTAACTCTACAAAGGCTTGTAAATTTAAAATGTGAATTCAGGAGTAAATATATATATATAAGCTAGCTCATTTCTTAAACAGGCAGCAGTCTCTCCAGCGGACATTGCAAGGCTCACAAAGGCTTCAGGAGCAGAGTGACAGAGCTGAGCAGCATCTGGAGCAGCTCCGAGAGGCAAAGACAGCGAGAAGAAAGCAGGAATCCCATTTGCGGGAAGAAGAAGGAAAGAAAGAGAACCAAAGGAAGGAATTCTTAAAGGCACAGCACAAGCAGAGGGAGAAGCAGCTGGAAAAACATAATCAAATGATTGATGGTCAGGAAAAAGAGAGGCTGGTGAGAGCACAAGTCTGTTTCCAGTTTTCCAAATTTCTGAAAATTTTCTTCTTGGGGGGTGGATGGGAATAAATTAGAGATCAGGCATTATCAGGAACAGTTGCCACCTCCGCCAAAGAAAATGTAACACTCTCAGATAAATGTTATGATATGGAGTATCTGCTTCATTTGTATAGATCAGGGGTCCACAACCTTGGCAACTTTAAGCCTGGCAGACTTCGATTCCCAGAATTCCCTAGCCAGCTGGCTGGGGTATTCTGGGAGTTGAAGTCCACTAGGCTTAAAGTTGCCAAGGTTGGAGACCCCTGGTTATAGATTAATCTGAGTGCATTGGAGGGTTCAGAAGCTGAAAGTGGGATGGATTTGAAATGTAGGAAAGAAATTAAATGACATGAATATTTAAAGAAGCAAGTGACTTTATTCATTTCTAATCAGAAATTCTGCTCAGAACCCTATGCTTGGAAATGTTGAGGGTTAATTATTCAGAACTAAGCAAATTTTGTTTGTATGTGTTTGTGTGTGTTTGTGTGTGTGTACCGACAGATGCACATATATACAACTACAAATATGTATACAAATATCTATAAACTCTCATTCTCATGACCTTTAACTGGGCAAAAGGGTGTGTCATAGGTTAACAATCTTTGAACCAAGCTATCTAAATTTAACCAAGACTCATTTAAAGAATGCATCCAAAATCCAGGACCCATGACTCCCAAAGGATTGAAATTTGAGGAAGTTGTGGTTATTTCAGTGCTACAGGTTGCTGCTGGAGTCACGTGATCTTTATTTTCAAACTTCTGTGACAGTTTCCCAGCCCAGGGGTCACCAACCTTTCGGACCTCAGGAACCACTAAATTCATAATTTTAAATCCCACGGACCACTAATATGATCTCCCTAATGACCAGCTGGGTGGGCGTGGCTAGGTGACTGGGTGGGCGTGGCCAACTTGATATCACTCATGTCAAGGGGCACCTCGCCAGCCTCTACTCGCCCTTCCCCTCCCATCCACTCCTCCCCTGCCTGCCTGGGCTCCTTAGGGCCCCAGCAGGAAGCAGTTGTTGGAATTAAGCAGCCACCATGAGAAAGAGTTGACAAAACAGCTGGCTTAGTTCAAAGTGGATCTGGCCGAGAAGAAGGCTCAGCAGAAGCACCTCACTGAGGACTATAAGCATAGACTTTCCAAGCAGAGGGAAGACCTGCAGGAGTGCAAGGCCAGGTGCCAGCGCCTGGAGGCTCAGCAGGCTGGGATGATCAGCCAGTTCCAGGCCATGATGCAGTCCCACTGGAACAAGACCCTCCAGCTCTTCGCCACTGGTGGCATTTCCCCCCAGTCTTCGTCCAAAGCCCCACACCAGGAGGTTGAAGCAGACCCCAAGTCGGAATTTCTGTCCCTCTCCGACCCACACAAAAAGACCCCGAAGTGGGAGACTCTCTGCAGCAACACAAACATTCATTGCACATATCTGTCCCAGGGGCCATAGTTTGAGGACCCCTGATGTAGTGCAATATAAAAAATGCAAATAATTTTTCTGCGGACCATCAAAATTTTCTGGTGGACCACGAGTGGTCCATGGACCACCAGTTGGTGACCGCTGTCTCAGCCAGTCTCATAATCCCTACTGGGGATAAACGACTTCCCTGTGGGATAGGGAAGGGAAAAGAAGGGAGAAGGAAGGGAGGAACAGCAAGGAAAGCATAACCAAAATTGTGTGTAATTACTACTCCAAAGCATACTTTATTACTGAAATTTGCTACTCTATATGCTCTAGCAGCATTTGAATTAGTTGGAATTTGAAACAGCTTGGCCAATTTGGGAGGTGTTGTCTTCTTCACAAGTTAAACTTCCATGCTATGTTTTTTTTTAAAATTTATTTTTCTTTTAGTAATTTTGTTTAGATTTTTATCCTGCCTTTTTTCATATACAAATCAATGTAATAAGCATACCAATATTCCTTCCTCTTTTCCACAACAGTAGGGATTATCTGAGATTAGTTAGACTAAGAGAGACTGGCCGAAGCCATTCAATCAGGTTTACTGGTTTCTAGACTATATACTAGCTCTCATGAAATTGCATTATTTTGTTAACAAGTTTGATGCAATAAAATGTTTTTGAAAAGAAAATGTGATAGAAGAGCTGTAAGTATACAGAATAATCAAGTAATCTTATGTTCTTTTTTGTAGGCCCTTCTCAGGAATAGAAAAGAAGTCATGCAAAAGAATGCAGAAATTACCCTGAAGGAACAGGATGCAGAAAATAAGAAGGAAGCTGTCAAATGCCAGTTGTCCCATAAGCGAGAGCAGATTTTACAGAATAAAGAAAAGGAGATGCAGATGCAGAAAGGACTCCTACAGTATCTCAGGGAACATGACCTCTTATTGCTCCGTGCATCTATGCTACCATAGAACAAACCAATTTCTGCAGCCAAGGTACTAAAAGTGTTCACAGACAATACATTGTGAAATGGTTCTTCTGTGTCTGAAGCTGAGCACTTATTGTACTTGAGAACTGGAGATTATGTAGCAAACGATCATTGCTTATCAATCCAATTTTCATTTTCTGTTTCATCTTAGTTATCTTCAAGCCATTTTTTCTGATTTTCATATTTCATCTCAGTTTTGCTTCAGCTTATTTCTTGAGAAACTGCAAAACTTCCTGGTCTTTCCAATACTACCTGAAGCACCTTTGAAATACATGTTAAATTTAGGAAGTGGGAGAGCGCCATCCTCTTGAAATTTAGTCTTGAACCACAAATGTATCCCATTATAAAAATAAATCCTTCAGATTTATTTGGCTAGATTTATTTGCTGTCAATCTAGTTCAGCTGTTTTCCCCTTTCCAAAATTCTTTGGGAAGGATGATCATATATGCATGTGCAGGTAGAGTTTTTTAAAAAATTCCTGTTCCTTTCTCACACTACATTAAAGTTCTTTCTCCCCTTCAGATTATCCTTTTAATCATCAAGATATTTTAAAACAACTTGCCTGGAATAAAACTGGGTGATTAAAAATGATATTCCCTTCCAATCGCTCAGTGCATTAAGCAGCCTTAAGCCTGTTTCACCCTCTCAGCCAAACAGCAGATAAAAGAGAAGGATAAACTTAAAATGTACTAAAATTAACAGGGTATGCCAGGCCATATGCTTGATGTTAACCTGCAAAGTTCTTAATGGTTTGGGATTAGAAGCACCTAACAGACTAATTTCATCACCTGTCAAGACATTAGTCTAATGCTCCTGCAACTTGGAGATTACTCAAGCTGTTATTGGCAACAAAGCTTTATGCTGCCTTCTGAGATGGAATTGTTTTCGTTGTTACAGATATCTAATGGTGTTCATCTTTTTCTCTATTTTATAGGCTAAAAGTAAAAATCTTCTCTGCTGCAATGTCAGGGGAGAGAATGCTATACTTGTGAGCAGGATCACCTGGCACACAGAATTCTACACAAATAGGATCAACTGTGAGCAAAAAGACATAGCCCTATATCCCTAATTCTATAGGCCAGTGTTTCTCAGCATCAGTAACTTTACAGAATTCCCCAGCCAGCATTGAGTTTCCTAGCAATTAGGTGAAATTGTGCTGCTCTGGTTGTCGATTGTCTCTCTTAAGGGCAGTGGTGAAATCCTACCGGTTTGCATCGGTTCAGGCGAACCGGTAGTAAAAAAAAAGCTACCAGTTGATCCGAACCAGTATTTCTGATGATCAGCTGTGCCACACGATTTATATTCGCTAGAAAACAGGACATCCTGCTTTCTAGCAAATCTAAATCGCGTGGCACAGCTGTTCCCCTCCCTCTCGCTGTTCTACTTACCTTCAAATGGCTTTTTCCACACGCAGTGCACGTTTGGTGCGCACTGTGCATGCGCGTGCAATGTGCATTTGGTGTGCACCGTGCATGCGCGGGCAGCGAACCGGTAGTAACCCGTGGACGATTTCACCACTGCTTAATGGTAATATTGGTTTGGACTTATCAATGGGTCCTTTGGGCCTTTGAGTAGTTTTGTGAAAGCCAAAATTCAGATTAAGGATCTGTAATGTGATATATAATACATTGGTGCCATACCTGAACTTCGACTGCACGTCCCCAAGAGTGGTTCATAAAATTTCATTAACCTGCTTTCATTGTTCATTTGTGTCCATTTTTGTGTTTGGCTTTTTAGGGGAGAGGCAATAGCAAAGAAAGTGTAGGAATCCCTGTTCTAGGGCCTATAAGCTGTGTATCTGTGTTATAACTGTTTGCATTGCAATTTACTATATTAATCATATTTTTATGGGTGCACATTTATAGGTTTCTGTTGTCTACCTGAAATGCACATTTGGTCAGAAAGGTGGAATATTCACTTTTAAAATATATACTTAAATGTATCAGACTAACTTCCCCAACCTCTTGCCATTCACATGTCTGGGACGTGTTTGTAATGTCATGCTTTTGACCTGAAAAAGCAAAATTCAAAAGGAAACATTTAGAAAGTCTGGGTTTGTTTTTGTTTTTTTTACTTACACAAAACCAGAAGCACCGTGAAAAACCATTTCTTGCCAAAAAAAAATTTATTAGTTCATCCAACTTTCCCAACATCAGTAGGTAGAAGTATATTCTTCTAAAAATATGTCTATTAGTAAAAACAAATTTAGCTAATAATATTTTCGAACATAAATGACTGCATACTAATTCACTGGAAATTACAATAATCATTTGAACCATGTTAAATCTTTGATGCTTTCCAGACCACTCTCTCTACAGCTAAGAAAGTTGTATGCTGATAGAAATGAAACGGAGATAGAGGGAGGGAGGGAGGGAGGGAGAGAGAGAGAAGGACACAGAACAAATCATCTGCTGGCAGAAGAACTAGAGTGCATTTAATATCAGCATCCTGGATCAAACTCTTGCAGTTCTTTCTTATCAGATGACCAGAACAGTCCCATTCCTTCGAACTGAAGCAGATGTGTACTCTTTAAAGGATTAGACCTTAATTTCCAAATTCAAAGGCCAAAGTGCTTAGCATTTGAAGAGGTTCTCAATTTTCAAGTGTAAACACTTGAAAGCAGCTTCTCACTAAGGGGAGAAGTCTTCTTCCTAATTTGGTGGGTTGATGAGAAGAGGTTTAGCTGCCTTCAGAACATCCAGATCAGGGTCTAAGGAACGACCAAGACCTTCCAACACCATTATGGCAAAAACAACACAGGCAAAGTTGCTTTCCAGCTTTACCTAAAAGTGCAAAGATAATAAACAGGTGAAAAAAATGCAACTGTTTGTTATAAATTTATTTATTTATTTATTAGTTAGACTTCTATACCGCTTTAAAGTGCTTTACAGCTCTCTCTAAGCAGTTTACAAAGTTAGCATATAGCATATTGCATATTAACATACTGCATTAGCATATTGCCCCCAATAATCTGGGTCCTCATTTTACCCACCTCGGAAGGATGGAAGGCTGAGTCAACCTTGAGCCGGTGAGATTTGATCTGCTGATCTGCTGAACTAGCAGTCAGCTGAAGTAGTTGCAGTACTGCACTCTAACCACTGCACCACCGCGCAGTGGTTAGAGTGCACCAGAATTGTGCACCACTGTGTCACCTTGGCTCAAATAAAAGTTATATTCACATTTCCAGACTGCTTTTTGTAAAAATGTTTACAGTAGGAATAAAAATAAATACAGTAGTTTGTAGTTGACTTTCTGGAGAAACTGGTAGAGAAGACTAAAAATAGCGAATATATGATTGTGGGACTTTTAGTAACTTGTCATAGACGCAAACAGGTTAACAGGTTCCCAAGTACACAGACTGCAATCACATGACGATGGGAAGGAGGCTGTATAGCAGGGGTGTCAAACTCGGTGTCACGGCAGCGTCACATAACGTATCACGACTTTTTCCCTCTTCGCTAAACAGGGCGTGGGCGTGGCCTGTGCATGATACATCCGGCCCGCGGGCCACGAGTTTGACACCACTACTGTATAGTGACATTTCATGTCAATCACAACTGCTTTATGGCCCCTAAGGCACCATTTTCCAGGCCCTCATAACTGTGAATAGTCATTAAATGACCAGTCATAACTTGAAGACTACCTGCATTGACTATTTTCAACAGTCAAAATTTTCCGGAACTTTCAAATTTTGATCTACAATATCCAGAAATGCTGGATACGCAGTGCTTTACATAAGAGAGATACACATCCTGCTTGTTATAAAGCTTTAAGCCACTGTGAAAAAGTTCTTACACGTAAATGACCTCACCTGATGGATCATAAGTAACTTGAAAACACTTGACAATAAGCTTCCAACTTGAAACTGTAATAGGAAAAAAAAATTAAAAAATATAATTCAGTTAAGCAGGGCACCATAACAAGGAATCACCAATTCAAATATAGCTTAGAATCACGCCAAGGACTGAACAATAGATTTTCAACATTACTGAAGCGTGTTTAGATGAAGTATGTGTAATTTCTGTCAGCTGAAGAGCCAAATAAGGCTTTCTGCGTCATTCTGAACAACTGAACTTAACTCCCAGAGTTGAGGCCCAAGGTAGGCCTGATTTTCTTTGGGGGGGGGAGGGGAGAGTGTGCTAAGCTTGCCCCTTAAATCCCTCTACTCAAATGCAAAAAAAATTTGGACAATTGTCTGACTCTGAAGCTCTGTAGTGGCTGCCCCTGGCACATACTGTATGTTTTGGAGTATAAGACGCACTGGAGTATAAGATGCACCTTAGTTTTTGGGGAGGAAAATAAGAAAAAAGTTGACTGGCAGGTGGATCAGCCTCCTGGAATACCTCCAATCAGCTGTTCCCAGAGGTAAATTTTAGCAACAGGTTCCTTGGTTGTGAGCTTTGTGCCTTGCTTCTTTTTCTGCCTCTGAAACTTCTGAAACTTGGTTTCAGAAAAAACCATTTTTCCTGCCTCTGAAAGCCTCTGAAACAGCTTCAGAAAAAAAGCCTCTGAAGCTCTGTTTGGGGGTTTCTTTTCTGAAGCTCTGTTTGGGAACTTCTTTTCTGAAGCTTCTTTTCTGATGCTTTTTTCAGTCTCTGAAATCTCCGTTTGAGAAGCTGGGTGGGACTACATTTGGAGTATAAGACACACCCAGATTTTCAGCCTCTTTTTGGGGGGAAAAAGATGTGTCTTATACTCCAGAAAATATGGTACTTTTGTATCCCTGACTTAGATTATTGGAAGCTGCAGTATACTCTTATCAGATCATGTTCTGTGTACTCCTGGCATGACTGGCAATGACATATTCTTTATTGAAGTTTAAAATTATGAAGATAAAAAAAATAATGCAAACTAAGAAGATTATAAACAAGACAAAATAGGAAGTGCCAAAAGGGGAAAAAGATAGAGAAGAGGAAAATATGATAAATAATTTTTAAAAAAATGAAATTAAATTTACCAACCCTAGGCAAAATGAGGATAAGGATTGGCACCTAGCACTGGAGCCATCTGAGCTTATCTTTGGTTCCCTGGGAAGCCCAAGCCTAAT